GGCTTTACTGTGTCTACCGGCTGTCTATCAGAAGACGAGGCTTCACCGATTTCTGACAGATAATGGTCTTCTGATATCATCTCTCCGCCGACTTGGTTCTTGGCCAGTTTTTAGTGGCTACACTGGAGAGTGCGTGTTGCTTTTGAAGATTTTTTCTGTATTTTTTTTAAATTTTTAGTCGATTTTGCTGATTTTTGCTGATTTTTCTGTTGCTGTGGTGTGCCGATCGGCGATCGACGATCAGGGCCAACGTGTTTCCATGCTCAGCAGGGGATGCAAAGCTTAAACAGTGGTACACACAGAAAAACAATATATATTTAAATTTTTAAAAAATCTTTAACCTTTTTCTAAGGACTTACGAAATCAACTAATAACTAATAGATTCCTCTTAAGCTTCAGAAAAAAGATAGAATCACAATCTTGGCTTGGTATTTTTTCATATTTGTATTTAAAACTTTGAAATATTTATTTTCCAGCTTCAAAATATTATATATTACTCCATTTATTTTCCAAATAAGTAAGTTTAATGACCTATTTAAGGCCTAGACATGAAAGAAGCAGTATATTTTCAAAAACTCTTTTTCGAAAACATAAAGCTTAGAAAGCATTGGAATTTTTTCAGTTTATTTTTCAGTTTTGTGTGTCATTATTATTTAATACCCTAAAACTTTTGTAAGATTTAGATTATGAGTATTATTTTTAAAAGTTATATCCATATTTTTAACATCATCACTTCTTAGCCAAAACTTTTAAAGGCTTATTGCTATTAACTTAAAAAAAAAGCAACAACTACTAGTATTATTGAACTTTTTTTGTTTGTTGACATTTCACCAAAAACTTAATCCACTGTGATTTTAAGATCGTATTAATGCGCGGCAAATTTTGCAAAACTCGAAACTAGTTAACCCAGCTGCGAAGTCGACAGAGACTGCGACGGTGACGGTGACGGAGACGGAGACGTGGGCAGAGGTAGAGCAACAGGGGGCCGGCTATTGTGGCGTTGTGGGCGGTCTTGCCGGCTTGGATTGATTGAGATTATCTTTGGAACGATACTAATCCAAATCCGATTCAAAGCTCTTCGATCTCGTGACACTCATGAATATTTTGGTAACGATCGCCGGCGAAATGTTATTAAAATTTCTTAACAACAGGGGCCACGTGAAAGCAATACCAACAAAAATGCTAAAAAATATATACATATATAGAGTCAGTATATTATATCCAAGGGGAAAGGGGCCTTAGAAACCCGAACTGCGCGCCACAAAACTAAAATAAATTAATTCCGTCGTTAATTTCGCTTTTTATATTATAACCGCCTGCTTTTCAAAGCAAACTTGCAAAAAAAATGTTTAAAAAAAACTCTATTTAAACACTTTTGAGAAATATTTTAAAGTAATATTAAGGTGCATTACTTTTGTTTGGTGATGCCGGTTTTGAAAGGTTTATATGTTACCGTTCTTGTTAGTGTTTTAGTTTTTTGGTTCTAACTTTCACTAATTTATTTTTTCACTTTTGAGACTCTTGAAGTTCTTTTTAAATAAATTATTTGTTTGTTTAATGTTTTTAGATAATTATAATATTTTTTTCTTTGTTTTTGGTTGGCTACCATCCGCGCGAGGCGACTTCTCGTTGCGAACTGAGCGTTCTGAGCGCGTGTCCTTAGCTTTTAAGCGGCACGTTTGCCAGTCGCTGTCAGCGTCTCAGCCGGCGTCGCTGCCCCCGTCAACGACAACGGCGGCAACAGCAGCCCCAGTATTGCCAATGGCCGTAACACCCAGGAGGTGTATATTAAATTAATGCTAACTTGGTTACAGGGCTCCAAATAAGCAAGTTAGTACTAAAATTATATGCAACATTGGCGCTAGGGAGTTTAGTTGTCTTTTCTGATTTTCTAACTAAAATATATATGTTGGGGAGTTGAAATTATAAATAGATTAGGTTAAGGCTTAGTCTAAGGTTTACATCACTTTATTTTAATTTTTAAAAGGTGTCATTAAGGTGTTAGATGAGCTACTAAAACCTAAACAGTGACAAAGCCATTAATCTTTCCCTAAAAGTTTAATAATAGGCTATAAATAATAATATTTATGGCTAAATATTTAAAATATTATTACTAATTTTTAGAGAAGGTGTAGAAAAGGAAAACCCCACTTATGTGTTAACCATCTTACCCCTTTTTCCTAGGATATCAACTAGCCCATTGATTGAGGAATTCTAAAAAGTGCAGGCCCCCCCATCTTTATGGGGGCTATATTGTCATATCGCAGTACACCCACCCACACACCAGAAAAAAACAAAAACAAAAAACCAACCAAAACAAAACAAAACACAGACACTGCGCCAAAGGTGGAGCACAGCGTCGGGCTGTTTACCTGTGACAGGTGTTGCCGTTCTCCTGTTACCTTCTGCCATCCTCTATCGATATCGATGGCGGAGACCATTCGGCACGTTCCACACACAAAGAGCGCTAATCGCAGCTCCATTCTGCGGTTCACCATTTCGTCAGTCGTCCCATCCCCCCATTCCCCTAAGTCCATGCCAGCCAGCATGACGCTGTACCCCATACCCTATCCAATGTAGAATCTCCGGAGCCCCCCAAAAAAAGCCCTCTCCCTTTTGTGGTCATTGGCAGTGGCATTATCAGTGCGTGATCATCGTGTCATTGTCAATGTTCAAGAAAGAATCCACTACTTATGTACGTATTAAAAGAAAAAGAAAAAAAAATTAATTACCACCTTGTCTGATAAGTGGGAAGATTACGGGAAGAGCTTCCTTTTGGCCTATTCCACCACCCCCCGTCTAATCCTCCATCTAGATGTCTTGTTATTAATTTTCTTGACACTTGTTTTCAAGGGGGTATGGTGGTAGGTAATCGTTGAAATTACGTCTTCGGTGCCATTTGGCTGCGAATGATGGAAGACCTGTCTTTGAAGGCTTTTAAGATCGCTGTGGGTTCGAGCCCCTCTAGTATGGATTTCCACTTCCTCTTGAGGAATTCAAACACACCTACCCCTCCCCCGCCCTAATAATTTGATCGATTTTCGTCGGCTGGCTGATATCCTTGCCTGGCTAATACAAAAATAGATTGAAAGTTTCCAAACACGCGCTTTAAGCTCCCCAGAACGGAAGCCCAACAGGTGGCGTGGGTACACTGAGCCAAAAAAACAATCTACAAAATAAAACTACTAGTCTTTAAAACTAATAAAAATGATGTATTGGCAAATAACAACAATAATTGGATAACTCATCGTGTTTTTTTTTACGTTTCTTTAATTTGTATTATCAGGAAAATAGTTTGTTGTTATTATCATGTTATAGAGCGGGGTTATTAAAATGGCTAGATAAGATCAAAAACAATGCCAATGAAGACAAATTGAGGTTTTTATGAAGCCAATAATTATGCAACTAGACTTGGATTGAGTGTTATTAAATGTTTATACCGAAAATTCGGTTTAAAGTAGTTTTCATATGGTTTTTCAAGTGTAATAACCATCGCGTGTTTTGTAACCACAAATCAAAGACTTTTTTTCAACTCAACCCCCAAAATAATAAAACACTAACCCTTACACCACCCTCCTATAAAAATAAAATAAAAATAGAAAAAAGGACAACGACACCGAATATCCTTTTTTTTTACCTGAAATTTTAGTTTTGGCGCTAAACCTGGTGCGGCACGTGCGTTGCTTTTGTGCTTCCTCTTCTTTGGTGTTACCACTTTTTATGGTTATGTTGTTGTTATTGTAGGCTTTGTTGTTGTTGTTGGTGTCGACATTGGCAGGATGACACTGCTCGGACGCCATATGGCAGCCAAACAATGCTATTAACTTTGAATTTATAACCGAATTACTCCCTAAATCAAACAGAATCGATTCCTTCTAAAAATTAGGGACTTCTCCAAGCAAAATATATACATTTGTTAAGTTTTATCTTCTATGTCCGATGTTTTATTTTTGATTTTAATATATTTGGGTTAATCCCCACTGGAAACCACTTAATTCCTTTCACGAAACCCTCTCCTAATATATGAATATTATTTATACCGTCTATTAGGATTATTCGGGAGGATTATTTTGTCGATGCTTCTTCGTTGAGCGCGCGTTTGAAAATAACAGCAATAGCAGTTGTGCTTTTTTCATTCAGAAAATCACTTTAAAGATTTTGCTCGATTTTTTCAAGTGTTTCTATGGATTCCGAGCCATTTGGTTCGCTCCCAACTTGGCCTGTTGAGTAAGGTTAGGTTGCAGTTGCACCCAAGAGAGAGGTAACTATATGACCTCTCGCTCTATGCGACTTGTTGGGGCAGATGGGGGCACATGCGTGCAAGTGAGAGGTCATAGTTCTATCCTTATCCCTCACAGCCCCCAACATGTTTGGTCTCGGAAAAAGTTTGCATTTTTCTTATTTACTTTTAAATTCATAAGCATATTTACCAATTCATTTGGTAACTAACATCCCATTAGGCAACTCTAATCTTAACAATAAAAATCCTTTTCTGGATAAAAACCATTTTAAATTCATATTCATAAGCTTTTTCAAAGGCAAACCCTTAGGTACCATTCAAATCAAATTTGAATTGGCCGTTACAAATGGCCTAAGCTTTTTAGAAATGGTCACACTTGTTCATATTTCTCGAACTATCGATAGTATTTAAAAATGATACGACTTAATAACTATAATTTGAATATTAATATTGATTTATGAGTTACAAAGGCCATACAATTTAGGTAACCAAATAATTTATTAAAAAATATAAACTTTTTTCAAGCAAGTAGGTTTTTTTTAAAGGACACAAACTTCTAATCGTGTTTCTATCAGGTTTTTTCTGAATACTTTTTGCGTTTCATATTTTTGTTTTTAAATAACAAGTTAATATAAAAGAACTAACCAATAAACACTGTTAAACATTCTTCCTTTCAAAAGCTTATATTCAAAATATAATCACTCCATTTAGTGGACGGACTATCGATATTACTGTCGAAGCTTTCACAGCTCTATGATTGAATTGTTATTGTTTTTTCCACTTTTAACCTGAACGTGTTTTGAGTTTATTTCCTTCGACTTCGAGCCGCGTGCCAGTTTCACCTTTCCATGTTTTGATTCCGTTTAAATTCTTAGTAGCCATTTCTCTGACAAGTTTTTCCGCCTCCAACCGGGAAAATGCTGAAGCTGCTCTACTATTTGTTTTGGTTTTCCCTCCCCGGACTCTTCTTCTTTCTGCTCGCTGGAGGAGCTGCCGGTGATGTGGGATTGGCGGCGGGCCAGGAGGCGGTAGAATGTAGCCGCTTGGAGCGAGCCGATATCGAGGGAAGACTGTCTACGAAGACGCCGTACCGAGCGATTGCCAATTTTAATGAAACGTCGCCTCTGTATGCCGGTAGGTATTGGAGTTATTATTATTTTTTTGGCTAAACATGTACAGTACGCACCCACTAAACGAAACCTTCATGGCAGTGCACTCTTTGAAAGGTACCTACATAGTATAGACTTCATGTCGTGAGAACACTGTACTTCAAGGAGCAAATACCTTAAAATAAATTCGTATTTTAACTATTTTTTCTTTGTATAAAGTTTTAATTTTTAAATACTTATGTTCCCTGTTTTACAGTGTAATGAATTCTGTAAATACGATAGATTAGATGTGCAAAGATAGAAATATAAATAGACATTAGTAGAGTACTTATTTCTAGACAATTGCTGAATGCTATTTCTTATCTCAAAAGTGCAATTTCTTTCTATTTTTGTGCTTTATCTGTCTAGAATCTAGATGTTTGCATGAAGATTTGAAAAAATTTTCAATATTTAACAAGTTTATATAAAAAAATTTAATTATTTTCTAGGTTTTTATTTTATTTTCAATTGCCCATGATCTATATTATTCAGAAAATACCTTAAAATAAAGTCAAAATAAAGTGTTTTAGTTGGTGCCTACAGTACTAGTTGCTTTGGGGGGTTGCTGATCCTGTTGAAATATCCTTTTCTCCTCATAAGGATGCCGTCCAACGCGAATCTGGTCGATTATCCGCCATGGAACCCGGAATCCCAGCGAGAAGGTAATCCTCCAAGCCCAGACTCGCCTCGCGGAGATCAAAGAGGAAATCCTGAAGCAATCAAATCCGAATCTCTGTGCCGGGGAGCTGAAGAAACTGCGCAAGTGGAGCTGGAATTTCCTGAATGCAGCTGAGGACGAGAAGCTTCTGGTGGCCGAGGGCGAGGACGAACTGACAGAACTGGCGGAGCGCATGCAGAACCGTTTTCCGAACCTCTTGCCGGACATCTACGACCCCGGCTGGTACTTCTTCAAGTATACAGCCACCCAGAGGACCCTGAAGAGCGCCCAGAGCTTCGCCACTGGACTTTTTGGACGCCATCGTATCCATGCTGTGCGCTATCCACCTCCCCTCCATCAGGATCCCATTCTGAGGGTAAGTACTGCTCCCATTTCTAGGCTATATATCCATTTATGAGTTCAGGTAGTCCTGCAAAGGTAGGTACATGCATGAATATTGGAATATTAACGGTAAATTTCAATATTTTGGGTAGAATTTTTATGTGGCTTTATTTTGGTAATGGCCAAAAGATTATACTGCCAGAAGCTGGAAATGCAATAGGTCGGGTTAAAAATAAAAATACATTCGTACTGAACAGTAAAACAAATTCAAAAGGCTTTTATTAAATTCAAATTACTGGACTATCGAAGACGAAAACCACTCGATAATTCATCGTGGTCGCTGGAACCATCGCTATCGCCAGCGAAAAACGTGACTAATCGATATATCGATTGGTATGTCTTATCGATGTTTCTTTTCCACCGCTAAAAGAAAGTGTGACTAGAAGAACGAAATAAGAAGAAGAAACGAAGAACGAAAAGCCGTAAATGCGTATTTCCATTCCCGTCGCAGACTATTTTTTAACATTCGCCGTGGGCACGGAAGCCACCGCATACTACGATTCGTTTTGATTTTTTGTTTTGCCAGCCGTTTTCGACTGGCGCCGCGTGTTTTGCACGCCCCCCCCTCCACCACCTCGGCTGCCTCTGCCGCCAGTGCGTTTTCTTCTTTATTCGGGCGAGAGTTTTCTGCCGCAGACCCCAAAATGGGCCAAGATCCGTAGGAGGAGCAGCGTGAAACGTGAGCGAAGGCGAAAGGCGAGAGTGACCGACCAGTGCGGAGCGGAGAGAGTTGCAAGTGGAACAAGGAGACAGGAGAGGAGTGGTGAGGAGAGAGGACAACGGGCAGAGGCAAAGTGTGAAAAGTGTTTGGGGTTATGTGCTAGTCCCCGCGGGGGAGTCATCGTCACCGTCACCGTCAACCGTCTACCGTCTGCTGTTTGAATCGCAATCAGAATCAGAGACGTAATCGCGTGGAATGTGAGCCAGCTAACCCCCCCACCCACTCCCGTACAGCCTGTATCGCCGCCCCCGTTCCATCGAATCCATCCGAAACGGCAATAATACGTTTTCACAGACACTCATTCGTGTGCCTCACTGAGTGGCACTGCAGCTGTGATTCCCAGACCGAATCCGAATCCGATACCGATTCCGATCCAGATTCCGGGAAATCCAGTGTCCAATAAACATGCTCGAATCCCATTATAGCGCCATGCTCAATGCGGTGGCATCGGTTGCAGCGGCCGAAGCCAGTGCAGCTGCTGCTGCCGCCGCTGCTGCAGCCGCCGCAGTCGCCGACGACAATAGCAACAACAGCAACAATAGCAACACCACCAGCAACACCAACAGCCAGAGCCAGAGCAGCAACACAAACAGTAACAACAGCAGCAGTAACGGTAGCGCCGTGGACATAGCCGGAGCTGAGTGCGTAACCAGTACCGAGGGCGACGACGACAGCCAGGATTGGGCCACATGGAACCGCAAGAGGATGATTAAATGGCCATTTCCCAATCAGTTCGGTGAGGTGATGCTGCCCTCCTATTTCAGCCTGGATCTGGGCGGCAGATTCGTGTTCGGGGAGCGGATCCGGGACGAGAAGTGCCCGCTCTCCTTTATGGCCAAGCGCCACTCGGAGGCTATCGTGGCCATGATGTACGAGCGGCAGACGTGGCGTATCCGGGAGCGCATGAAAACGGCCAGTGTGGCGCTGGTGCTCTGCCTGAACATTGGCGTGGATCCGCCGGACGTGGTCAAGATCCAGCCGTGCTCGCGACTAGAATGCTGGATAGATCCCAGCTCCGTGTCGCCGCCAAAGGCCATGGAGCTGATCGGCAGCAGCCTGCAGATGCAATACGAACGCTGGCAGCCACGGGCGCGCTACAAGAAGTGCCACGATCCCACGGTGGAGGACGTGAAGAAGCTCTGCACATCGCTGCGCCGCAACGCCAAGGGCGAGCGCATCCTGTTCCACTACAACGGTCACGGCGTGCCCAAGCCGACGGCCAACGGCGAGATCTGGGTCTTCAACAAGACCTTCACCCAGTACATACCGCTGAGCATCTTCGAGCTGATCACCTGGATGTCGGCGCCGTCGATCTACGTGTACGACTGCTCCAACGCCGGGATCATCATCAACTCGTTCCAGCCCTACGCCGAGCAGCACGAAAAGGAGCTGGAGAAGCAGCGGGCCAACCTCCAGAAGCGGGGCGGTGTCCCGCAGCTGGCTACGGGTGCGGCTGGGGGTGCGGCCGCCACCCAGAACCAGGTGCAACAGCTGCAGCAACAGGTCAGCTACAAGAACTGTATCCATCTGGCCGCCTGTGCCGCCAACGAGATCCTTCCGATGAACGCCCAACTGCCGGCGGATCTCTTCACCAGCTGCCTGACCACGCCCATCAACATAGCCCTCAAATGGTACGCCATGCAGGAGAAGCTGGGCATGGTGCCGCCCATACAGAGCGATCTGATCGACAAGATACCAGGTAAGATGATCCCCCCATCCCAGATAGAGTCCCACAAGCTGATGGATTGGTACTTCCAGGCAAGGTCAACGATCGGCGCACCATGATGGGCGAGCTCAACTGGATCTTCACCGCCATCACGGACACGATAGCCTGGAACACGCTGCCGCGTGAACTGTTCCAGCGGCTGTTCCGCCAGGATCTGCTGGTGGCCAGTCTGTTCCGCAACTTTCTGCTGGCGGAGCGCATTCTGCGCAGCCACGACTGTACGCCCGTGTCGCTGCCGGCACTCCCGCCCTGCTTCCGCCACCCGATGTGGAAGGCGTGGGACCTGGTTGTCGACCTGGCGCTGCAGCAGCTGCCCGACATCCTCGAGCACAATGCCCCGTACCGGCAGCTGCCGTTCTTCGAGCACCAGCTCACCGCGTTCCAGGTCTGGCTGGACAGCGAGTCCGAGTCGCGCACTCCGCCTGAACAGCTGCCGATCGTGCTGCAGGTCCTCCTCTCCCAGGTGCACCGACTGCGGGCGCTGGAGCTTCTGGCCCGCTTCCTCGATCTGGGCCCGTGGGCAGTGAATCTGGCCCTGGGCGTCGGAATCTTTCCGTATGTCCTGAAGCTGCTGCAAAGCTCAACCCGCGAGCTGCGACCCGTGCTGGTGTTCATCTGGGCCAAGATCCTGGCCGTGGACCCCTCCTGCCAGGTGGACTTGGTCAAGGAGTACAAGTACTTCCTCTCCGTGCTGCAGGACACCTCCGTCTCCAAGGAGCACCGCACGCTCTCCGCCTTCGTGCTGGCCTCCATCGTGCACAACTTCCTGCTCGGCCAGACGAGCGCCCTGCAGGGTCCCCTGCTCTCCATTTGCCTGGAGCAGCTCAACGACGGCAGCTGGCTGCTCCGCCAGTGGCTGGCCATATGCCTGGGCATGCTGTGGCAGAACTTCGAGAAGGCGCGTTGGTCGGGAGCCCGGGATCTGGCCCACGAGAAGCTGTACGTGCTGCTGAGGGACTCCATTCCGGAGGTCCGGGCCGCCGCGGTCTTCGCCCTGGGCACCTTCATCAGCTCCGTGACGGACCGCAGCGAGGAGCAGGCGAACAACATCGACCGCATCATCGCCATCACGCTGCTGGAGACCGTGGGCGAGGACATGTCGCCGCTGGTGCGCATGGAACTGGCCGCCGCCCTCCAGTGGATGGTGCTGCTCTTCGAGTCACAGTTCGTGGCCATCTACCAGGTGGAGCACGTGCGGGATCACGCCTCCGCGTCGTCGTTTGTGATGTGTGGCGACAGCCGGGACCTCATCTCCTCCACGCACAGTCTTGAGCGGCATGTGAGCATGCGCCGCGGCGCCAGTTCCAGTTCGATATCCAACATGGGCGGGGCATCGGCCTCGAGTGGCGGAGGCTCGGCGAGCGGCGCCGGTGGTGGCAGCTTGTCCGGCAGCACGTCCGGTCGTTCGAAGAGCGGCTCGGGCGGCAGCACTGGAGCGGGAACTGCTGCCGGCGGCACCAACACCATACCATATCAAATGATCTTCACCAAGCTGTGGCAGGGCATCTGCAATCTTGCCCAGGATCCGTTCCCGCGGGTGGCGGCCATCGCCCACGAGATCGTGGAGCACGTGCGGGACACCGCCCTCTGTCCCATCATGGCCGCCAAGGAGGCCACCATGGCCACGGCCACGGAGAAGTGCAACAGCCTGAGCGTGAGCCTTCCACCCAGTCCCAACACCAGGGTGAACTACCTGAGCAGCGCGGCCGGCGCAGGAGGAGCTGGCGGCGGCGCTGGAGAATCGCCGCCCGTGGGAGCCACCGCCTCGGGCGCCAGCCACTGGGCCCAGAAGCTGCGGCTGTCCGGCAGCGGAGCCGGGGTGGCCGCCAACGATCCGCATGCGATACTGCAGCGCAAGCTCCGCACCAGCTCCATCAACGACGAGACTGACAGCGCCCCGGCGGCCTATGCGCGTCCGGGGTGGGGCGGATCACTGGGACTGCCGAGCGGGCCGCGGGAGAGCACCCACTCGGCGCGGAGCAGCGGCAGCGAGAGCAACCAGTACTTGGACCCGCCTCAAAGCCTGACGCCCATCGTCCAGACGGAGTTCATCCCGTGGGCCATCTCCTACTTCACGCGGCCGGGCAAGCATCGATACAGCAGCGCCGAGGGAGCGGCCGAGGAGGGATTCCAGCGGTTCCCGGTGGATCGGAACTCGGCGGAACTGAGGAAGCGCAGCTCGCGCTACATGCGGAACGACTTTGTGCGGCGACAGGCGCGACGGCATCAGCGGGAGCAGACGGATCGATCCGGATACGAGATGTGCGTGTGGAACCGGAAGACGCAGTTCACGCCCTCCATTGTGAAGCTCCTGCCGTACGAGCCGCAGATAGCGGTGGCCTACCGGGAGAAGGTGCTGGCCTATGACTTCCAGTGGAACTCGGTGCGGACTTATGGCTCGGAGGCGATGTCGGGAACGCCACATGGCTCATCCTCGGTCTTTTCCCGCGTCAGCAGCGTCGAGTTCATCAATGCCCAGGACGAGGCGCTCAAGCTGGTGGCCCACGACGACGGTGTGGTGCGCGTGTGGCAGTCCTCGCCCGGCGCCAACTACTCCTCGTCCTCCTCCTCCTCCTCGGCGGCAGACGATCCTCCGGCCAAGGCGCGCCTAGTCACGGCCTGGAATGCTCTGAGCCCGATCCACCAGCAGCACAACAACTTCCGGCAGCGCATCATCGGTTCCGGCGGCGGCAGCATTGGGAAGGGCATGGATGCCAGTAGCCTGAGTCTGTCCACCGGCATCGTGACCGCCTGGCAGCAGGCGCAGCAGCATCTGGTGGTGGGCGGCGGTGGCTGTCGGTTCCTGCGGCTGTGGGACGTGGAGCGGGAGCTGCGACTGAGCGACATACCCCTGGGACGCAGCGAGTCGGGGGCAGCCCGAGTCCTGGCGCCCTACCTGCCCAACATGCGATGCGACGTGATTCTGGCCGGTTGCGACGACGGCACGGTGCGGCTGTTCGACAAGCGGTGTGCGCCGCAGGAGTCCCGGATCTGTATCTATCGCCGGCACGACGCTCCCATCCTGCACGCCAGTCTGCGGGCCAACGAGACGGTGCTGGTGTCCGGTTGCACCGACGGCCGGATCAATGTGGTCGATGTGCGGGCCACCTCCTTCCCATACGGCGTCGAGGAGCGAGTCATACACAAGTGGAATGCCGGGAACGATGTTACGGCGATCGCCAGCCACCAGTTGGCGGACACGGTGGCGTGCGGGAATGCCTTCAAGATCAGCATCTATTCCCTGGACGGTCGGCTGCAGAAGACGCTGCGCACCAACGAGGGCTTCATCGGTCCCAAGACGGGCCATCCCACCTGCCTGTCGTTCCATCCGTACAAGGTGCAGCTGGCGGTGGGCTTCGTGGACAACACGGTGGCCATTTACAGCCCCACGGGAGCAGGTAACCATTAACTACCGCCATCCGGACGCATGAAGTCCGAGCGCATGTCTAGCGATGCTTTTCTTTTGACATTCCGGGTGGGGGTGTCATCCCATCTCTGTTTGACTTTCCGATATCGATTTTTCGATTTTCAATTATTTTTCGACAACTATCTGACATGACCTTTCACCATTCCACAACCATTGTGAATGGATGTGATCTCATCGAGTCGGCCTTGCTTCTCGTTGCAGTTCTATAAGCGCTGTGGAAGATGGAAAACTGACGTCGATAAGAATCCCGATACCTTGGTCAACGCACGCAGGTTCCTTGCGGAGCCGCAGATGCAGTCAGCAGTGGAGCATGTGCGGAGCAGCACCCGGCTACCGGAACTCCGGCCGGAGGATGTCCAGCTCATGTATACGGTGTGTGCCTTCGAGACGGCCTGGCGTCGGCCACGTCCCACTGATCGATGGCCCACCCATTCGGTGTGGTGCAACTTCTTCGATGTGCCCGCCCTGAATGCCATGGAGTTCTTCGAGGACCTGGAGTACTATTGGAACGATGGATACGGCTACGAGCTAACGCATCGCATTGCCTGCCCGGCAATAGCGGATATGTTTGCGGCCATAAGGTAAGGATACTCCGTGACTCCTTTTTTATGGATCTTATTAATGGTATCCTCTTGGTAGTTCGTCGGAAGCTCCTGAGGAGCAAGGACCGCTGCGGTCCAATGCCACATTCTACTTCACGCACTCGGGAACGCTGCTGAAGCTGCTGGCCCACCTCGGACTGGCCCGGGATGAGGAGCCGCTGACGCACAGGCATTTTGCCAGCGAAAGGCTCTGGCGCACCAGCCAGATAGACGCCTTCGCGACCAATCTGGCCTTCCTGCGCTACGAGTGGGTTAACTTTTCCACCCTGCACCTCGGATCCTCTTTTTAATCGTTACTCCCTCCATTTCAGTTGCGTTGAGGAGGCGCCACATGTCCTGGTATTGCACCAGGAACGAGTGGTACGCCTGCCCGGCTGTCCACAGGACAAGGACCTCTGTCCGCTGGCCACGCTGCGTCGCATCTACGCCGACAGCGTGGAACGCTGCGACTTTGAGGAGCTGTGCCAGCTGAAGGACTAGGGCTGGAGTCGCCGCTCTGCACTGCACTCTGCTGAGCTCCCGCTGCCGCTGCAAGACCTCGAGAAATGGGATTCGTCGGAATGATGTTATAGGATACCGAACTGAACTGATGCTATGATGGAGATGGAAATGGAGATAACGATGTTGTTATATGCGATGTGGGGCTGGGCATATTGGGGACGATCTAGCCTAGGGTTAGTTTTATAAGCAAAGTGACCAGGACAGGCGAGCTACCAAGCAACCAAGTGTGGTGTGTGTGTGTGTTGACCATGTGGCCGAGTCGAAATCTGTGTGTTTTGTATGCCTTATTAATCAATGTGGACCATCCAATCCGAGAGCCAGACAGATCCGAGACGCAATGTCGAGCAAGAGAATAAAGAGTGTCGTTGTAGAGAGATGAGGTGAAAGGAGAAAGTGGTAGCCCGTGTCATGCTTTATTACTATATCTATCTTATATGCATATATATATATATATTTTTTTTTAGATATTTTAACTCCCTCCCACTCCCCACAGCTGCTGTACACAATACCTCTATGGTTAACCCCTTACTTTTATTTTTATTTACGTTTTTTCCTTTTATTTTGCTGTTGTACTATACCCCGAGTCCTTATCCAGGTCCCTAGAGATCCAGGTCCCAATCCTAGGGAAGCAACGCATAGTGTACATATATAAATAATGATTTCTAAGATAGACCTATAGAGCTCCGATACGAAAACACATATGCATATATACACAATTATACATATAACTAGATATATCTATCTATATATATACATATATGCCTCTATTCAAACCTTCCTTTGCCATCCCCGCACCAACAAAAACCCAAAAAAAAACTAAAAACTAAAAAAAAATGGATAAGAGAACGTTCGTTGTGCTAACTTGTGTTATATACCTATAAACCGATTACCGATTACATATATAATTAGATATACCTAGTAAGAGCGAGGAGGCAAGGAAATTGAACAAATGTTGGGTTCCTGTTCCTACTAAAAAAAAACAACAACAATTGTTAATCGCAGCTCTCAAGATTTATGATTTTTTTTTGGAAAATTTTAGAAAATATAGACCGAATGGGTCGTCTTGGGATGAGAAAGAGAAGACGTTTGGCAGAGAGTGAGACGGATGGAGGGAGAAACCCATACACTTTGTACATAATAACTTAAAAATTTAATCACTTTCTTATTATCTTTATTTTTTTTTTTATTGTATATGTTTGTCCCAACAACAGCAGTAACCGTAACAACAATTAAAATTAACGAAATTCTAGTTTAAAGCTTAATGCGCTTGAACTTTTCACTTTGTTTAAGCTAAAAATAAAATATGAAAAATCGAAAAAAATCAATGCAACACCTGGCTGGGGAATGACTTTTGTTTGGTTCTTCAATTGTTCTATTATGACTTTTATTTTTAGGTCTTTTTTTGAATACCCTTTCCAGAGAAGGTAATTTTGTGGGCCTTCTTTTCAAGAGACCTTTAACTAAAGACTTGTTTTAAATAGTATTTATTTTAAAATATCTTGCTATATATGTTCTAAAATTAAATACTATATATTGTCTATAGGTCTTATCGATACCTTTTCGAATTTTACAATAGAAGAGTTCCTTGAAATTAGACCTCTAAAAAGCTGATTTCTTAAGATATTATTGTATCTTAAAATACTTTTATTTTATTAGATTATGAAACATATCTTTTATTATAAATAGGCCCTCAAAAAATGGATTACCCACCTATAGGATTACCCATTTCCTAAGGAACCGATTCCATAAAGAAGTCATCTTAAAAATCAACCAGAAATAGCCTCACAAACTCTATAAAGTCTTATATCTTAAAGAGTCTTATATATACCCTAAAGGGTATTAGCTATCCTCCCTAGACCTCCCAAGTCTTTTCTTGTTTGCATTTCATTGCCATTTTCCATAACCATTTCCATTTCCATATCCATTTTATGGTGGCTAACTTTCCGTGTTTGCCCAACGTGTGCCCTGCTAGTGTTTACACCTGGTACAGGTAATTTGTGTTCCTCCATTTGGAGAGGCCCTCCTCGGCACAAGGCCCATCTCCTCCTCCTCCACCCTCCTGCAGTAGGCGGATCAAAGGCCACCACCCGGTGATGGTGTACCGGATCCGGTGTGAGTTTAAAATCTGGAATCTGGAAGTACGGTTCCCGGATCGACAAGGGCAAGAAATCAAGTCGTGGGGGGGGAGTGTGTGTGTGAGTGTGGATTGCGCACTTGCACTTGATTTTCGCATGGAACTAAGCACTTTACACTGTCGGAGTCGGAGCGGTCTACGGGCAGTTGTTTGCCCTCTTGGCTTGGCTAAGCGGAAACATCTCGTGGTGGCTTGGGCCGGGGAGCGGCCGGCGGAGGTATAAACACATATTGATCTGTGTAAGTAGTTCCAGCTCAAAGAACAAAACTAGCTTTGTAGACTTCAAGTTCCTCCCAAGACATTGTAGTAGTGCCCAAACATGCCAGAAGTGACTATTAAGGAATTCTAAAATATATATATTACTAGATTTTTATCACTTTTTTAACCCAGTACATCTTGAAAAAATTCAATTATTAAAAATATTCTCTAAAGTAACACTTCATTATGATGCATTTGGCATACGCCGAATAAACAATAAAGGAAATCGATTTTGGCCTAGTGTTATGACTGAATATAAATGAGAAATAGTGCAAAGTAGTTAAAGAAGGGCCAACATATCGGTGCTTTATTGAATTTATGTCTATATGATTTATTTATTCGTTTTTTAATGTAATACTTGTTCTAGTAAATATAAAAATGATATGACTTTCTATTCAAAAATGGCCTAATTTGCTAAGTTTTTGAATAAAATATCTAGAAATATATAGAACAAAACTAGAAATATTTCTAAAACATTTTTGGAAATGTCTGTAGTTTTATAAACTTTGTTATTTATGTTTTTTTACTTAATCATTTTATGTTTATTTTATAAAAATAAGTTTAAAGTTAGAAACAATTTGTTGAAGAAGATTTTTCAAAAGAATACCTCTCTGTTCTATATTTTATTATATTATAACATAATCTCCTTCTGATCTTGAAGATCTTTCAGCATATATAATTTTTTTAAAAGTCTGTCTTAATAAGAAGTCTCCAAGATTTAAAAAAAAATGAAATGCAAAGCTAAATAAATAAGATTAAAGCCCAATTTTGAAAAAAATATAAAGAAATTCTAAACAATTCTTAAGAAATACTTTAAAGATTACTATAAACCCCCTATATACCCTCTAGCCTCATCCAAGGTGCCGCTTAAAACGGAAGCTTAAGAAATGGTTTGGACACTGGACTAGAGCCCGGCCCGGAATGGATGGACCCGGAGCGGCAACAGGTCCCACCCTTAGCCGGCGGAGCTTTCTGGGGGAGGGCCCCGAAAAAACAAAAGCTGCGAGGACTTTGGCGACGACGACCTGGCCGACGAAAGAAAAGATGATTACCGGCGGCAGAGAGCGCTGCTCCGTCGCCGCGGACTTCGCACTGCGCAGCCGTCGACGATGGCCGAGGCAGAGGCTGCGACGCGGGAGCAGTGGCTGAGGCGGCGACGCGATGCTTTTGGTTGTTCGCCGCCGCCGCCGCCGCTGCCAGCGGCATTTGGATTTGGATTTGGTTTTGGCCAAAAAAGCGAATCAGTCTCAGTGCGCCGTTGTCGCTGCGGTAGGCGCGTCGCTTGGCTTTTAATTTTCTTTATTCTTTTTGCTTAAAACATCCATTTTTTTAAGACAAATTTTAATTCTCCATTTAACCAAAAAATATCTCTTTATTTTTGAATATTTTTTGTGGTGTGTGTGAGTGTTTGATTTTTATTATTTTTATTTTTTTTTTGTAATTTAATAAAAATTCCTGGTGTGTGCCCGAAGTTTGATTACGAGAGTGCCGAGTGGTTTTTCCTGTTATTGGAAAACATTGAAAATTGATGAGTGAGAGAGGCAGGAGAAAGGCACGGAGAGAGTGAGAGAAAGAGAGAGAGGACTAAGTGGCCTGATGTCCCCGAGACCCATGTCCGTGTGTCCCTGTATCCGCATGTCCTGGCCATGAATTGTACGACAAAATCAACCAATTAGGGGTTGTCCTTGTCTGTGTTTTTGTTTGTTTGCTTATGAATATCCTGAAATGGATATCACCTGATATTAAACAAAAGGCCAGCCCAACACCAAAACATGACCTAATTTTAGCCAGCATCTTGGCCAAGTCAGGACATGAACCAACCAAGCCAAGACAAAATCCCCCGGAAAACCTTAACATTCACCCCTAAAACGACACAAGGCACTTGCCTGGCTTCCTGCTTCCGCATTCTAATTAGATTTCAATCATTTGTCCAGCAATTTGATTGCCAGCATTGCCTCATCCGACCTCTACCACCTCTTTCAGCGCCCCCCATCCCAGCAACCCGCCGCTCGCCGCGCCACGCCACGCCTCCCCCGCCCACCATGGAGCAGCTGTGCTACCTGGCGCTGAGCGTCCTCCTGGCCATCGTAGTGCTATATGGACTCCTGGAGCTGCACTACTTCCTGCGCATGTGCCTCTGTGTGCTGCTAGCCCGCTTTGTGAAGCGACGGTGCCACATCCTGGACGCCACCACGGTTAATGGTAAGTACTGGTTGCTCTAGGTCTAGTTTTAGGGTTACTAACAAGAGATATAGTCTCTCTGTTGTTGCTAATTATTTAAACAAAGTAATAATTCTTTAAAAAACTGATTAATTAAGAAATAAAATTATAAATCTATAAAATAAAAGCTACTTAAATCACCTAAAATTGAATAGCTAATTAAGCTATTTAATAGCTAGCTAATTAATACCTTTTTACAAAAAAAAAGAACAAATTCATTAAGCAAAAACAGTTCTAGAGAAGCTCCTCGAGAATATCACTCATCCGCCCCGTTGGTTGACTTACAAATGGTGAACAATATTTACCCTTTTGTGGGCAAATGTGTATTTTGGAATGGGTTTACTCGGTCTAAACAAATATCCGATATCCATTACAAAATTGATGAGAACCTTTATTTACTAATTATTTTTTTCCCTTTTATTTTTTTAAGTATTTATTACAAAACTAGAAACATTGTAAAGAATTATGTGGTATTTTTTGTAGGATTGTGTCTCACCAATGATGTGGACACTTTGTTGTATCACATGAACAATGCCAGATACTTCCGGGAACTGGACTTTGCCCGTGTGGACTTTTACGAGCGGACGAGTCTGTACCGCACCATCACGGGAATGGGCGGTTCCGTATTCCAGGGGGCGGCCACCATACGCTACCGTCGCTTTATCCGACCTTTCCATCGGTTTAACATTGTGTCCCGAGTAAGTTTAGTAAACAATACTATTTAAGCTCTTGATTTAGTTAAAATACTATTTGTATTTTAGATCATATATTGGGATGACCAATCGCTCTTCATGGAGCACCGTTTTGTGCGTCCTTCGGACAAGTTCGTCCACTGCATCGCCATTTGCCGGCAGCGTGTGATCGACGTCTCCATGGAGGCGGTAATGGCGGAGCTGCTGCCGCGCACCTCCTCCAACGGCTTCCGGGCCACGGCCCGGATCCCGCCCTCGCACACATTAACGCCCCCGGCCGCGGGCGGAATCAGCAATCCGGCAATGGACACTTCCCTGGCGGAGAACGGACACGCTACGCCGACAGCGACGGCAACCGAAGCAGCAACGCCTACAGCGACGCCAGGAGCAACGGCAGCGCCAGCGCACTGCGCCAAGCTGAAGCCCTCGATGCCCCCGGAGTTGTCCAAATGGATCGAATATAATGACATGTCCAGTAAAAATCTACGAAGCGGCTGCTGACGGGCGCCGGAAACCGGAAAACGGGCCACCGGAAATGGAGATGCCATTTTCAAATATCTCCCATTTTTTTGTTGTTGTTTTTTTTTTTATAAATGTACGTCTAATGTGTGTGTAAGTGTTTGAGTGTATACGTGTATGTGTGTGAGTATTTTATGTGTGTGTGTGTGTGAGGTATGCTCGAGAGTAATTTTTTAAAGTGTAAGCTATAAGTGTCTGACAAAAAAACAAAACTAGAAAAAAATCCCGCCCCATTTGGCCTTAACTATTTGTATAATTTTCCCAGAGAATCAGTCACGCCTCCTAAGCTTCTCAAAAAGCAAAAAATAAAGAACACAAACTTACCCCTGGTAGTCCACAGTGTATAAGAATCTGATGTACAATTGTTTAGAAAATAGATAAAAAAAATGTGCAATGATAAAGAGTAAATTTTTGTATTTTTAATATTGGGTTATAACGCCGAAAAGTATGCTAGAAAAATGCCTGGATAATGTACAAGTTTGTATTATTATAGCCCTTGACTAATGATGTCCACCTTTTGGCCTTTTTGAACTTTCAGCCACGGCAGCCCTTTGTAACTTTATCTGGTAGCTAGGTGTCCGGAAATTCACAGTTTGTCTATAAAACCCGATGATCCCCAAGCACCGATCATCGATCACCGGTCATATCCAATATCCAGCTTTGTATAAACTACAATTTCCCGCATTTACCCGGCAATTTGCTAATTGCCAAACATCAACCTTCCCACACATCCAGCAATCGGAATCGAAATCAATCGATCGCTTATTCAATCTTTTTACCTTTTTTCCCTAACAGGTACAGGTGCCAGGGGTGTACTTTAGATTGTATATACAAAGGTGAAGGGGAACCCCACCGTAAGACAAAAAGAAAGCTAATGGCAATTAAGAAAGAGAGGTTATACGAAAGTATGAGAGTAGAAAAGGCTCTCAATGTTAGCTGGTAGTGCTGACCACCTATTTGGGGAAAACTTTTTAGAAAAATTCAAATCTTTAAAGTTTTGGGCTTAAATCTTTAAAGGTGGGGCTTTACAATCTATTTAAATTATACATTTTATTGGAAAATAATTTTAGACCTTAATTAATGTTCTATAAAGTATATATTTTTTGTTAAAACATGGAAAGAGACTTAGATTCTTAGACTTGAAGCTAAGAACTCAGTTTTTTTTTTTTAAAGAAAAAGCTAAGAAGTCTGAGGGAATATGTTCCCTTTCAGAATCTAATATCTAACTAAATTATCTTTTCATAATTTAAAATCTAAAAACTATAATATTTTCCTAACATAAAATCCATATTTTCCAAAAATAAACAACAATCTACATAGCTACTAAAGACTTTATTTTGACTTGAAAAAAGCTAAAATGACATCCATATGGTGTTTATCGCCTGGTCTTCGTTCGAAGCTCTCTCATTTTGTCGTCTTACTTTCGAGTGCTTGCTTTCTTCTGTCTTCTTTCGGCGCTTTGCGGTCTTTGGTCTGCGGTCTCTGGTCTTCAGTCTTCTGTGGCCTTGCTTAGCCGACGGTTGTGTGGCTCTCTACCATTTTTTTTTACCAATTCTTCAACTGCCAAAAATCAAATACTAAAGAAAACAACAACCCAGAGGCCGAGTGCAAGCTAAAGTAAGTTTCCAGCTGATTTTCAGCGGGTTCAACGCATACAATTGACACCTTTTCAAGCCAATATCTAAAGTCTACCGCTACACGGTGAGAAATTAAAGAGATTTATGGCTTAAGTTTATAGTTTTTTTATGTTAAAGAGTATTGATGTTGACCTGTTTATACTATATACTTTTATTTGAGAGGTTTTCAGTTTTGTAATCAGACTTTCTAAGTCACAGCTTGAACTTTGAACTTGGTTTTCAAGAAATTTCTTTTTATTTCAAAGGTTAAAAACCTTTTTCCAATTTTAAAAAAGTATATAGACTTTAAAATAAAACAGATATAGTTTACCTATAGTATTAATTAGTCAAATATATTGAATATTTCTCAAAGTTCAACGATCATTTACCGAAACAGGTTTTAGCTGAAATGTGAATATATATTAGATTATAAATCATATTTTTCTCTCTCAAAAGGTGTCGTGTAAGTTAATGATTTGTTTTGAGGAAAAACTTTCGCTTTCAATAACCGGCTTTCCCCTTCTCTGTTTTATTTTCAGAAATATTAACACCAAAAATCATGTCTTGGCTGGTGGTTCTGCTGATTTTGTACATCATCTGGGATGTGAACTACTTCATCCGGTGTGTCTTCACCGTCTTCGCGGGACGACTCTTCCAGAGCAAGCGCAAGGTCACGGATAAGACCTCGATCTATGGACTGTGCACCTCCCAGGACGTGGACATCTTCATCCGGCACATGAACAATGCCCGTTACCTTCGGGAACTGGACTTTGCCCGCTTCCATTTCTATGCTCTGACGGGACTGTACGAACGGATCCGGGCCAGAGGTGGTGGCGCCGTCCAAGGGGCCAGCAGTGTCCGGTATCGTCGCACCATTCCCATCTTCCATCCGTACAAGATCACCACGAAGCTGGTGTGGTGGGACGAGAAGGCCATCTACATCGAGCAGCAGTTCATCACCCTGGCCGATGGCTTTGTGCGGGCAGTGGCCCTCTCCAAGCAGTGCATCACCAACTGCAATGTCGTGGACATCCTCAAGAACTATCCGGAGGCGGCCAAGCGCCCGGAGATGCCCGAGGATCTCAAGCTCTGGCTCGATGCCATCGAGCTCTCTAGCCAAAAGTTGCGCAAAGACAAGTGATTTTTCTCACCTCCTCGAATCTTGCCTTTATTTTTTTTTTTATTTACAAAAATATATAAGACTTAATTTTGCTAAAACAATAACTAAAAAACAAATAATATTAAAGCGTCTTACATGAAAACTATTTTTTAGTTAACTTTGTGTAAATATTTCATAGTCTTAAAGGTAACTTTTTGTAAAGATCTTTTTTAAATACAGTGGCTAAGGCTAAACATAAACTTTTCTCAAAAAGAAATTAAGTTTAATATTTTATTTAAGAATAATATTTTACAATTAACCCCTAGGTTGTTAAGACTAGCTTCCTATGGGAGTTCTACGAATCCAAATACTTGGTAATACTTTCTTAAATGCTTACCTTCCTTCTTCAAAGATAATCTTCTCAAGATGTGCATCTTCACGAGACTCTTGTCTTGTGTTTTTTGGAGACCCTACTTATAAAAACATTTCTTTCTTTTCTCGACTTTCATTTATGCTAAGTTTGTTATCACGCAACGCCACGTCTTTGTCGATAAGTCGATGGATTGTTTATTTTCTTTTAATATTTGTTGTTATGGCTGTTATTGTTGTTGTTTCCGTTATGGCTCAGCTCATCAGTATCAGTATTTTTTTTTTACATTTTTTGTTGCGTTTTGTTACATAAATCCATAACGAAAATGTTTTAGGGGGAGTTGCACCATCAGCGATTTGGCGGCCATGCGACTAATGCAAAAAAAAAGGGAAAATAAAAATAATTATAAACAAATTTCAAGAGGCAGAAAAAAGATGGAGAAAGAGTTAAATATTTTTAAGGGAATTTTCAGAGCTTCTATTATATTATATTACTCATTGGATAGTATAGTACCATAATATAACACTCATACGCAGTGTGGTACCGAAGTTCTTGAATAGCAGTTGAGGCTTTTAAAAATAGTTTTTTCTCTTAAAAAATCTTCACAAATTTAATAAAAATTAAAAATTTAACATATTTTAATTTTAATTTAACAAAGAGAGTATTCAATATTCTCTAACCATTTTATTTATTTTTCAAACAAAACAACAAAAGTTCGTTAACCTTTTATTTTTGCATAACTAAACGGAAATGATGGTAAACTGAAAATATTTAGAGTTTTCCCTCACAGTTTTTCCCAGCAGCTGTGACGTCAGCTGGTGCCACACGGCGTATGAGTGACCACATCCACTTCCCGTTGCACATCCCTCTTTTTTTATGGTTTTTTTTTTTTATCCAAAAAAGTGGATCAAAACGTGACACTGAAATCTAAACATAAATCTCATTCATAAAATATGCAGACGGCGCGCGTCGCTCAGCTTTGTCTCTTTCTCTTTCCCCATTTCTCTACAATTTCTCTGTTTCTCTAAACAAGAGATACCCTCCCCCCCTAGTTGTGTGCAACAAGCTCTGTCCATCCGCCACTTGCAACCGAAGTGTATTCGGTTTTTCGGCGTTCGTGCCACTTCGGCTCGGTCCGATTTTTTAACTATTTTTAACTGGCAGTGCGCAGAATTGTCAGTTTATTTTGAGCAACCGCGGCGAGCGCATTAGAACACGCAGATATCGAAACGAAAAGCTATTCGAAAATCCCCAAAAAAATAAATCTCTTAAATCTTCTAACAAGACAACCAAAAAAATCAAATCCATTAGACACAAAAAAGATATTAGAAATTGTAAAAATAAAATTGGAAAAGTGTTTCAAAAGGAAAATCGATTTTTTTTCAAGTTGAAATTTTCAAAATTGTGCCAAATAGTGCGCGATAAACGATAAAATCGATAAACAAATATCGTTAACAAGCAAAGCCCAAGTAAATGTCCTTTATTTTATAGAATCTATATAACTTTTAAAAATATATATCCTCTCAGAAGTGACTATAACAACAAACTGTTGCAGTTTATTGACAGTAAAATAACAATAACAATAACAAAAACAGCAACCACAAAACCAGATTGAAAGCAACAACTTGAAGTAATTTGCAACTGAAAAGAAATGCGGCAATGGGGCAACAACAAAGTAAACACATAGATTGCCTCGATCAGTAGTAGCCTCGATCGTCCCTCCCCGAAAATACAAACAAAAAAAAAAAAGAGAAAACTTTTCGTGGACGACACTTTGAAATACCACTATATACGACACTATAACAACTACAACAACAACAAGAGGAGGTCTCAATGGTCAAGAGAAAATCTTTTGTTGTTGTTGTTTGTGCTGAGGTTGTTGTTGCCGCAAATGTCGTCGACTTGGCGGATCTTTGCAATTTCAAGTCTTTACACTGCCCACTGCTTGGTCTTTCTTTGAGGATTGTGGGGCTTGCAACGAACTGCTTAATACACTGCTTGCTGAAATAGAATAGAACCTTTTGTTTGTTTATTCCTGTTTTTTTTCTAGAGATTCCTAGAGAACCATAATAGAAAAAAAACACTAAAAAAAGCTAGATTTTAAATATATTTTTTTGCTTCATTATACAATAACTTAAGAATTGTATAGGTTTTCAAGCTATTTCTTATAATTTGAGGAATTTAGCTAACTTATTCCCTAAAAAAAGGGGTTTCTTTCATAAACTTTTAACCTCTTTTTGTATTTTTAAGTAACAAAAGTTTTTTTTGACTAATTTCTTTGTTCTAGTTGTTATACTAATGGTAATAAATGCTTTACCAAGTAGTTTATTTACTTTGTGGCAAGAGGTTCTTAAATCACAATAATTAAATATTTTTTTGTGCTTTAAAAAAAGCTAAAATATAATAATGCTTAGGTTTTTTTTTGTTATGGGCTGGCAGACTGGCATAAATCACTCATGCCGCATCCGCAACATCTCAGATCCAGCTCCTCGAATTATGATAAATGTGCAACTGTGAGCCGGGTGGGGGAAATGAGGGCCTTTGGGTAAATCGCAAATTTTCAGCGTCAAATGCCATTAAGCCAGTCCGCGTTATTGAGTTAAATTGGAAAATAAGCGAGCGACAGTTGCTCTCGTTGTTGCTGTTGCTGTTGTGGCTTTGCAATTGTTCGCACTTGGAGACGACAAACTGGGACTGGGACTGGGAATGGGATTCGGAATGGAAATGGAAATGGAACCAAAACCATGGCAAAGCTGGACAGCCCTGTTTCCACAGCCATCTCTGCCCATCTACCCCCGGTCATCTACGTTTATTATTTGCACTATTTCATTATTATGTTTGATGTGCACGACCACGGCGATAATAATAATAATAATAATGATGATGATAGTTATACCAATTATAGTGTAGAGCTCTGTCCATGGGGCCAGAGAAATTCCGAGTAGCCGAACGGGTTGCCTTCGAAACTTATGGTGGAGGAGGTGGAGGTGGAGGATCCAGTTTTGAAGGCACGCATGCGTCTGTCGCGTGCTCCTCTCCAGATTTTCAAGTTCACATCCATTAGTGGGGGGTTAGACAGCGGGAGGGACTGTTGAGGTCAGAGGTCACAGATTTTCAAGAAGGTTTGGTTTTCAACAGATAAATAGTTTTAAAGAATGAAGAATTCTTATGTTTAGATCAGATGTCCATATATCTCTGCCAATTTTCATCAGATCCTCGAGCGGAGTACCTCAATCGATTTGTGGGTCAATTCCCCGTCGTTCTGCATTCAAATCCTGGAACAAAATATTTTTTGAAAATTTTTCGTATTTTTGTGGGGCTACCCCTGTAAAATGTGGGATTTCCACATGTGGCCTCTTCCGATGTCCATATCTCTGCCAATTTTCATCAGATACTTAAGCGGAGTACCTCTATCGAATTGTGGGACGATTTCCCGTCATTCTACATCCAAATCCTGGAACAACATATTTTTTCAAAATTTTTCGTATTTTTGTGGGGCTACCCCTGTAAAATGTGGGATTTCCAGATGTGGCCTCTTCCGATGTCCATATCTCTGCCAATTTTCATCAGATCCTTAAGCGGAGTACCTCTATCGATTTGTGGGACGATTCCCCGTCGTTCTGCATCCAAATCCTGGAACAAAATATTTTTTGAAAATTTTTCGTATTTTTGTGGGGCTACCCCTGTAAAATGTGGGATTTCCACATGTGGCCTCTTCTGATGCCCATATCTCTGCCAATTTTCATCAGATGTTTAAGCGGAGTACCTCAATCGATTTGTGGGTCAATTCCCCGTCGTTCTGCATCCAAATCCTGGAACAAAATATTTTTTGAAAATTTTTCGTATTTTTGTGGGGCTACCCCTGTAAAATGTGGGATTTCCACATGTGGCCTCTTCTGATGTCCATATCTCTGCCAATTTTCATCAGATACTTAAGCGGAGTACCTCAATCGATTTGTGGGTCAATTCCCCGTCGTTCTGCATTCAAATCCTGGAACAAAATATTTTTTGAAAATTTTTCGTATTTTTCTGGGGCTACCCCTATAAATGTGGGATTTCCACATGTGGCCTCTTACGATGTCCATATCTCTGCCAATTTTCATCAGATCCTTAAGCGGAGTACCTCAATCGATTTGTGGGTCAATTCCCCGTCGTTCTGCATTCAAATCCTGGAACAAAATATTTTTTGAAAATTTTTCGTATTTTTCTGGGGCTACCCTTGTAAAATGTGGGATTTCCACAAGTGGCCTCCTACGATGTCCATATCTCTGCCAATTTTCATCAGATACTTAAGCGGAGTACCTCTATCGAATTGTGGGACGATTTCCCGTCATTCTACATCCAAATCCTGGAACAACATATTTTTTCAAAATTTTTCGTATTTTTGTGGGGCTACCCCTGTAAAATGTGGGATTTCCACATGTGGCCTCTTACGATGTCCATATCTCTGCCAATTTTCATCAGATGTTTAAGCGGAGTACCTCAATCGATTTGTGGGTCAATTCCCCGTCGTTCTGCATCCAAATCCTGGAACAAAATATTTTTTGAAAATTTTTCGTATTTTTGTGGGGCTACCCCTGTAAAATGTGGGATTTCCACATGTGGCCTCTTCTGATGCCCATATCTCTGCCAATTTTCATCAGATCCTTAAGCGGAGTACCTCTATCGATTTGTGGGACGATTTCCCGTCATTCTACATCCAAATCCTGGAACAACATATTTTTTCAAAATTTTTCGTATTTTTGTGGGGCTACCCCTGTAAAATGTGGGATTTCCACATGTGGCCTCTTCTGATGCCCATATCTCTGCCAATTTTCATCAGATCCTTAAGCGGAGTACCTCAATCGATTTGTGGGTCAATTCCCCGTCGTTCTGCATTCAAATCCTGGAACAAAATATTTTTTGAAAATTTTTCGTATTTTTCTGGGGCTACCTTTGTAAAATGTGGGATTTCCACAAGTGGCCTCCTACGATGTCCATATCTCTGCCAATTTTCATCAGATACTTAAGCGGAGTACCTCTATCGAATTGTGGGACGATTTCCCGTCATTCTACATCCAAATCCTGGAACAACATATTTTTTCAAAATTTTTCGTATTTTTGTGGGGCTACCCCTGTAAAATGTGGGATTTCCACATGTGGCCTCTTACGATGTCCATATCTCTGCCAATTTTCATCAGATGTTTAAGCGGAGTACCTCAATCGATTTGTGGGACGATTCCCCGTCGTTCTGCATCCAAATCCTGGAACAAAATATTTTTTGAAAATTTTTCGTATTTTTGTGGGGCTACCCCTGTAAAATGTGGGATTTCCACATGTGGCCTCTTCTGATGCCCATATCTCTGCCAATTTTCATCAGATCCTTAAGCGGAGTACCTCAATCGATTTGTGGGACGATTCCCCGTCGTTCTGCATCCAAATCCTGGAACAAAATATTTTTTGAAAATTTTTCGTATTTTTGTGGGGCTACCCCTGTAAAATGTGGGATTTCCACATGTGGCCTCTTCTGATGCCCATATCTCTGCCAATTTTCATCAGATCCTTAAGCGGAGTACCTCAATCGATTTGTGGGTCAATTCCCCGTCGTTCTGCATTCAAATCCTGGAACAAAATATTTTTTGAAAATTTTTCGTATTTTTCTGGGATTTCCACATGTGGCCTCTTACGATGTCCATATCTCTGCCAATTTTCATCAGATCCTTAAGCGGAGTACCTCAATCGATTTGTGGGTCAATTCCCCGTCGTTCTGCATTCAAATCCTGGAACAAAATATTTTTTGAAAATTTTTCGTATTTTTGTGGGGCTACCCCTGTAAAATGTGGGATTTCCACATGTGGCCTCTTCCGATGCCCATATCTCTGCCAATTTTCATCAGATACTTAAGCGGAGTACCTCTATCGAATTGTGGGACGATTTCCCGTCATTCTACATCCAAATCCTGGAACAACATATTTTTTCAAAATATTTCGTATTTTTGTGGGGCTACCCCTGTAAAATGTGGGATTTCCACATGTGGCCTCTTCTGATGCCCATATCTCTGCCAATTTTCATCAGATCCTTAAGCGGAGTACCTCTATCGATTTGTGGGACGATTTCCCGTCATTCTACATCCAAATCCTGGAACAACATATTTTTTCAAAATTTTTCGTATTTTTGTGGGGCTATCCCTGTAAAATGTGGGATTTCCACATGTGGCCTCTTCCGATGTCCATATCTCTGCCAATTTTCATCAGATCCTTAAGCGGAGTACCTCAATCGATTTGTGGGACGATTTCCCGTCATTCTACATCCAAATCCTGGAACAACATATTTTTTCAAAATTTTTCGTATTTTTGTGGGGCTACCCCTGTAAAATGTGGGATTTCCACATGTGGCCTCTTCCGATGTCCATATCTCTGCCAATTTTCATCAGATCCTTAAGCGGAGTACCTCAATCGATTTGTGGGTCAATTCCCCGTCGTTCTGCATCCAAATCCTGGAACAAAATATTTTTTGAAAATTTTTCGTATTTTTGTGGGGCTACCCCTGTAAAATGTGGGATTTCCACATGTGGCCTCTTCTGATGCCCATATCTCTGCCAATTTTCATCAGATCCTTAAGCGGAGTACCTCTATCGATTTGTGGGACGATTTCCCGTCATTCTGCATCCAAATCCTGGAACAAAATATTTTTTCAAAATTTTTCGTATTTTTGTGGGGCTACCCCTGTAAAATGTGGGATTTCCACATGGGGCCTCTTACGATGTCCATATCTCTGTCATTTTTCATCAGATCCTCGAGCGGAGTACCTCAATCGATTCGTGGGTCGATTCCCCGTCATTCTGCATCCAAATCCTGGAACAAAATATTTTTTCAAAATTTTTCGTATTTTTGTGGGGCTACCCCTGTAAAATGTGGGATTTCCACATGTGGCCTCTTACATACGTTGTCCATATCTCTGGCAATTTTCATCAGATCCTCGAGCGGAGTACCTCAATCGATTCGTGGGACGATTTCCCGTCATTCTGCATCCAAACCTTGGAACGAAATATTTTTTCCAAATTTTTCGTATTTTTTGTGGGGCTACCCCTGTAAAATGTGGGATTTCCACATGGGGCCTCTTACGATGTCCATATCTCTGTCATTTTTCATCAGATCCTCGAGCGGAGTACCTCAATCGATTCGTGGGTCGATTCCCCATCATTCTGCATCCAAATCCTGCAACAAAATATTTTTTCTAAATTTTTCATATTTTTGTGGGGCTACCCCTGTAAAATGTGGGATTCCCACATGGGGCCTCTTACGATGTCCATATCTCTGCCATTTTTCATCAGATCCTCGAGCGGAGTACCTTAAACGTTTTGTGGGTTGATTTCGCGTCATTCTGCATCCAAATCCTGGATCAAAATATTTTTTAACAATTTTTCCTATATTTTCAAGCCAGCCCCTTGAAATGCCAGATTTCCTGATGTTGTCTATGACTTCTACTTCGTGGCTTGCATTTTCCCAGATCAAGCTCGATTGCGGTGCATTGTATGATCATTTGCATAAAAAACTGAAATCTTTCCCAGAAGAATTAAAAAAAATGGAAATTTGTCGGTTCTTTGTACACATTTTTGGGGCTTAATTACGTTGAGAAACATGTTTATTAATTTGGTGTGTACTGTACTTGTTTTCAAATAAACAAATGAGGACATTTTAATATAATTTTCATTGTCTTTTATGTAAAATTGTACTTTTTTGGCTTTGTTTTTGTTTTCATTCAATCATTTAAAATATTTGCATAAACGAGCGGTTTATGTATTTGTAGAGCAGCTGCAATTGCTTAAACACACACCCCCCCTAGTGGCATCTACTCACCCAAACACACTTCCATACACACCCTCACACACCCTCACACTTCCTCACACACCCACATATACTCCAGTTACATTTCATAGACAAAAAGGAAATGCCAATGGAAACCATCACAAAAAATGGCAAAAAAAAATAGCAATAAAGAATTTTTTGTTAAAATTTATGAAATTCAGTATTATTTATACACACACAAGCTCAAAAAACATATACCCAATGGGGTCGTGTTTTTTTTTTTTTTCGAAAAACAAAATCATCCATTTAATAGATCCACAAAAAAAAAAAAAAAACATTTCTAATGAATGCAGCCCAGAAAATTGTCCATGATTTATGCGTTTGTGTGTGTGAATAGCGCTGAGGGGTGTGGTTGGTTATAGGAGGGGGGCTCTGGGGCCTTGGGGCCTCAAACGAGAAGAAAATCCCATTCTTAAGGCACTTTTTCTATTACAGATCCCATAATGGGTAATGCCGGATATACCTGCATACGCCGCACTTTCTGTTGGCTGAACATTATACTTTGGGTAAGTTTTTGAATATTTTTTATATTTAAGTTTTTGAAATATATATCTTAAGAGCCTTACTTTTAAAGAGGAAATACATCTCTCTTGTATTTCTCCCAGTCCATTTGAAACTTGTCAGCGGATATGCAGCATCAGCCACTGTGGCATTGAAAGAACATAAACAAATAGGCAGATAAAGCTACAGATACGGAAACGCAAAGGGGGTAGAGATACAGAAACAAAAACAGATACAGATACAAAAGTTAAAGCTTGGGGCATGGGCCATGAATCAAAGCCAGAACTTTGCCGCCGTCGTCTGCGGCGGAAGTGGCAGCCACCTGGCTGGTTTCTTGTTGTTGCCGCATTTTTTTTTTCAACTGTTGCATTGTCTGAGCTCCTGTCACGTGTGTCTCTTTGACTTTGGCATCGGCTTCGCTTTCAGTTGCAGTTGCAGCTGCAACAGCCACGCCTCCTCCAGTGCCTCTATTGGCTCCCCCCTTTTGTCAGATGTCAGCCTTTGTGTGTCCAGTGTACATGCAACATGCAACAGTTGTTGCTGGCGCCGATTCCTGCCACATTCAGCTGCCAATCGACTGGCTTTTTAAACTCACTTTGTAAAGTTTCCAGGAATTGAAGGACATGTGCCTGGGGATAGATGGCTTTAAGTCCCGATCTCGACACTGATTATTGTTGGAGAGATATAGTTTGTGGCAAAGTGGACCGTTAGGTCATAGAAATATTTAATCATTTCTACATCATTTCCCACACTTCTTTCCAAGACCTTTCTAATACAAGCCACTCTTTTTTTTTACGATTTTCAGCTATGCAGTTGCGCCTTTCTGGGCGCCGGCCTGTGGTTGCGTCTCAGCTACGAGGGATATGCCACACTCTTGCCGCAGCACGCTGGCCTCAGTGCCGACACCATCTTCATGGCCATCGGTGGCACCGGGTTCGTGGTGAGCTTCTTCGGATGCTGCGGCGCCTGGGTCCAGTCTCGTTGTCTTCTGGTATTGGTGAGTAACGGTACCAGAAAGGTGAAGGGTATCCCAAAAGTATATAAAAGTTTATCTTCAAACAACTACACAAGGAAAAAAAGGCATTAGCTTGTTTGAATATTTCAGGATTAGAAAACTTAAATAGATCCATTCTAATTAAATTTCTTATAATATAATCTAAGCTATAATCGAAAGTAAAGCTATAAAAACTAAGAAAGTATTTGAAACTATTAGAGAAAGCCTCGAAACTTCGATTATTATCGAATTAAGCAGGGTTGTGTTATTTAAACATATCGCGGCCTGATTCTCATCTCTAATCTTCCTTCCCATCCCTATTTTTAACAAAAGCTCATTTCAATATTTGTTTTTTTATGTTTTTTTAATTTATTTATAAGCTACCACATTTTCTCTCTGTGTATTGTTAGTACTTCATGCTGATTGTGATGCTGTTCATGAGCGAGTTCCTGGTGGGCTCGATCGCCTTTCTCTTCCGCGGCGGCCTGGGACGGACTCTGGCCAACGAGCTGCGCTTCGGGATCGAGCGTCATTATAATGCCAGTGATCGTGGCTCCCTGGTGGCGCCCTCGGTGGCCTCCATCTGGGACAGTGTGCAACAGTCGGTAAGTGGGGCGCCTCTCTCTTATGCCTGTTTCGCCTCAAAATTATGGCAATTTCCCTTTTTCCAGTTCGAGTGCTGCGGTGTGTCGTCGTATGAGGACTGGTATGACATCCAGTCGTGGCAGGGAAAGCGCTGGGTGCCCGAGTCCTGTTGCAGGATGCTCTACGATCAGCGTCAGGTGCTCACCGAAGGATCAGGAGATGGACTGATACGCCCCGATTGCGGACGGTAAGTACATTTTTTCTAGACTCTATAAAAAGTAATGTTAATTATGCACTTTAGATCGGAAAACCCCGCGTTGTGGTGGGACAAGGGCTGTGCCCATTCCCTCCAGAGCTGGTTCACCGGACAATTGAATGTAGTTGGGGCAGTGGGTTTGGGTATCGCCTTTGTCCAGCTCTTTGGACTGATCACCTCGATGCTGCTCTTCTGCACGGTGAAGCACAAGCGATCCTCGGACACCTACAAGTCCTATTCCCCCTCGATCGATCCCCAGACCCGTACCAGCAGTTGGGAGGATTGAACTCACCTTTAGGCTAACAACTATCTAAAACATCAATATCTTCCCATTAGTTTGGTTCTATTTTTTTTAGTTTTTAGCTTCTGCAAAATGTGCCAAAAATTAATTTAATTATTACTACTTTTTTTTTTGTTTTTTGTTGTAATTTTTAGGCGAAAAAAAAAAACAAAACATATCGAACAACAAAATTGTTTGGAGGCTTTCTTGGGCAATCTCCAGTGTGAACACACTCACAAAAAATACAGTGTTGTTTAGGTAGCGGTGTATCCATATTGTGATGTGCTCTCTAGTAGTTAATAGTTAAGAGTTTGAGGCCCTAATACCCCCCGGAATTTGGGCCTCAAAACTCCAGTATGTAATCCTTTAAATCAATATATCAATTATACATAAACCTACAAATACAATTATATATATTTATATGTTATATTATTAAAACAAACAGTATAGAAGAGAAACGAACAACAACAACAACTGCCTGAAAAGCAAAAACTGAAGACGAAAAACGATAACGAAGAGGCGGAAAAGGTGACGAAAGCTATTACGAATATAATTATTTTATTTAAACATACGTATATAATATATTATATTTATATTTATATTTATATCGAATTGCATTCCTACACAACATGTTCGTGCTAAGTTACAAATAAATTAAAGTATTTATTTAAATTACAAACAATAATAGTTATGATAAAAAAAAAGGAATAAACTATTGTCAAATTACAAGCCAACCAGTTTGCCGCCAATAATATCCAATTGGGCCGTAATGCCTTTGGTAACACTGCGGGCCAGCTCTTTGGGTTTCTGTTCAAGAGAGAGAGAAAGAGATTTAAGAAAAAAAAGAAAGTTATTGGTAAGTGACCTTTGCTTTAAAGGTGGGCTTAAACAAAAATAAAGGCCAACTAAGTTGCATAAGATATGAGAGGGCTAAGAAGTTGTAATGTTCATTACAAATTATACATTTTATTAAGAAATCTATCAAGTCAAGAATATCATGTCCTTGGATCCGCCCCCTTTAAAAGTAAGCAGTCACGCAAGCAGGGTCCAAGCCATTAAAGCAGTGACTCAAAAGCCCGCAATGCACTCTCCCATGTCTTATGCAACATGTGCGATGTGTTGTGATGTGTTGTGAGTGAATCGACAGCAAACAAATGAAGAAATAAACAAAACAACAAAATGTATAGCAATTTCAGCACTCACCTGTATGAAGGTGTTGAGCAGGTTGGAGAAGGCCTCGTAACCGTTGACAATGGAGCGCGAGATGCCGTCGAACATGTCGCCATTGTTGCCGTACTTTTCATGCTCGCTTATCGTGTCCAAAATGGGAACGGGCTGTGTAATAATTTATTTAAATATTTTATACAGTTAATAAAGATTTTGGTTAGTTGGGGGGCCTGAGCATCACTCACCTGAGCTATATCAGCCAACTTCTTTTGGCCTTTATCATAAATGCTTAGGACCTTGGATGGTATAGCTTCATGTTCGAGATTCACAGATTCTGCGGTTTTGGCAGGAGTTGGTAGGAGAGATATCTAAAAGGATATAGAAACATAAATATTAAATCTTAAAAATGCTTACAAAATTTGAATACAAGTTTTAGTTCTTTTTATTTGTTTCCCAAATAGGTTCTGGGTTTAGTTTTCACTCAAAACTCTGGCTTTAGTCAGTGTTTAGTCATAATACACATGGAGTATATACTAAACCCGTATGTATATATATTTTAAGTAAACTTCCCGGTATATAGATTTTTGTGCACTTGACTAATGAGACTTTGCTGCACTCTCGACCTTTCCCGCAACTCAACTCACCTTGAATCCGGCCGAGTCGCTGGCCTCTGCTTGGGCGGACTCCACGGAACTTTCGGCGGCATCGAAGGCATCCTGGGCGCCAAATTCCGCCGCTGAGACACGGGCGTCGATGGGCGTGGCACCATCAGGCGTGGCCGGGGCAATGGGCGTGCCAAAAGTGGGCGCGGCACAGTAAACAAAAGCCCAAACCAAAAATAAAACTTGCAGTTTTAACATTTTGTTTACTTTACTCGTTATATTAGAAAATAAATTTAAAAAATATATATATATTTGTATATATACTCTAGTTATAATATTTAAGAAATTTGCAATTTAAAATTCCCGTTTAAGTTCACTTTATTTAAGCCAAAAGTCCGAGCGCGTCCAAGACCAAATTTCAACTGAATAGCCGCGTCTGCGCAACGATTTTATTGGTTTAAGCCCGGTCCCGTCCACGAGGAGAGTGCTGGGGCTTTTTGAGCCGGACTTTTGAGCCAACAGTTGCTCAGTTGGCTTTTTGGCCGATTCAGTTTAGTGCGTGGCGAAGTGGTAAGCGACTTAACCGGTTAACGACTCTTAAAAGCCACTGCAAATCGCTTTTCTCAGGATTGGTAATAATAATTATTTTTTGGGAATTTTTCAATTAACCGAACTTTGCTCAAGGGGTTTATGGTTAAGGTTCAAAGTAACCTATGCTCAGAATTGGGATCTTGGTTTAACCCTTGGCTAGTAATTACATGTATTCTCTCATTTAATTATTCGAAACCCAAGTACCGGGTATAAATACTTAATAGTTTCCAAGCTTTAACCTTACCCCTTTTTAGTCCGTTTTTTTGTCAAGTGTATAGAGACAACCGATTGTAAAATTAATGACAATAACAAAAACAAAACTAAACTATAACAACAATCAGCAAGCAACTAAGAAAAGAGCCAAGCAAACCGGCAACTTGTTGCTGTCAACAAATGTTGCCGCCGCCGATGCCGCCGCCGTCTGTCGCAACAATGAGGAAGGAAACCCGCCCGGACGGAGTTGGTAGTCTTGGCTGGGTTGGCTGTTCATTAACTGATTTAGTCAGTTACTCAGTTAGTTGGTCAATCGGCAGCCAGCACCCCCGGGCACTCTGCCCTCGCCACTCAACACACTTCTCCAATCATGATGGTTGTGCAATTGTAATCCCATACACTACAAGAAATCAGATATACGAAATAAAAGAAGATGGTGTAGAGATTTAAGACACGTTTATTTATTTAAAAATAAATTACCTATATTTTTAATATAATATATAGCAATATAATATTTAATATAATATAACAAATATTAACATATTTTTCTTAAAGTGATTTAAAATAAAAAAAATCGCCAAACCGCCAACGCCGCCCACTTTTACTTTTGATTTGGACATGATTCGAGTCTTCCACTCCATCTGGCTCCTTCGATTAAGACCTCAAGCATTTGATTTATTTTCATAGGCTGGCTAGAGTGGTTTTTCTTTGGGTAACGATTATTGATTGTATTTCCTGTCTGCGATTTTTCCTTTTTCCCAGGAATATTAAAAAATAAAAACCTTTTATACTAAAAACTTAAGGTTTAAATGTATTCAAAATATTAAAAAAAAAAAATAATAAGAAAATAAGGGCTCAGCCTACCAGAGTGTATGCCTGATATCAAATGGAATAAATTACATTATAATATTAATATTTTATGAACAAATGGAAATTGTGTATGTTGCGATATCAGAATAAGGATAAAATAAAAATAATTAATTAAATCAGAAGAAGAAACAGCCGCGGCTTTTGAATCTGCCGATAACCATTAACCAAGGTTTCTTCAAAATATTTAAAGAAAAAAAAAATAATATAAGAAAATAAAGGCCCAGCGTACAAAAAAGTATGTTTATTCAGATTGAATGAATATAAGGAATAACTATTCGATTAATCACTACCCTGTTGAAATAAGGCGACTTTAAAACAAATAAAAATAAGAATATAAGAGTAACCAGTTGAACATCTAACAACCATTTTGCAGAAAATCGAAGCCTTTTTTTGTTCAAAATATTTAAATAGAAGATAATAAGCAAAGCATCCAGCAGATAAAATACTTCAAATTGAAAAGTCGTTGTTTTGTAAAAATAAGTTTAAAATTAAAAAACGTTCATTAAAATACGAAAAAAACAATCCCGTCCATATAAAGAGTCTATGGAACACGCGGTTAAGGCAATGAAAATAAAATAAAATAAAAACAAAAGTAGCCAGCTGAGCGTCTAACAACCATTTTGCAGAGAATCTAAGCCTTTTCTTGTTCAAAATATTTAAATAGAAGATAATAAGCAAAGCATCCAGCAGATAAAATCCTTCAAATTGAAAAGTCGTAGTTTTGTAAAAATAAGGTTCAAATTAAAAAACGTTCATTAAAATACGAAAAAACCATCCCGTCCATATAAAGTCTATGGAACACGCGGTTAAGGTATTATAAAATAAAAAATAAAAAAAAACAAAAGTAGCCAGCTGAGCATCTAACAACCATTTTGCAGAAAACCCAAGCTTTTTTTGGTTTAAAAAAGTAATATAAATAAAAAATAAAATAAAAATAAAAAAGAGTAGTCAGTTGAACACCTGACGACCATTTTGCAGAAAACCCAATGGGTTTTTTTTTGTTTAAAATATTTAAAAAAAAAAACATTCATTAAAATACGAAAAAAGTATCCAGTTCATATAAAGCGTCAGCTGAGCATCTGACGACCATTTTGCAGAGAACCCACTCTTTTTTTTTAATATTTAAATTAAAAGAAAATCAGGTACCAAAAAATAAAATAAAACGTGGATACAAAAAAATAAACAGAAAAATAAAAAGAAAATTTGAGACCAGAGAAAGTGTTCTTGTCGCTGTGAACACTTGGCTCTGACTGATTTGAAAACTGAACTTCGGTGACCTCCTAACATTTTGGGGCCTTTTTTGACGATTCCCGATAACTTTGAGTAATCTTTGTGCTTTTTGGATTTACCCAACACTGGCGTGCGATATTCTCTTTAAGCACTGTAAAACACTGTTTTCCCACACTAGAGGCCAAAATGTGAAAATTGCAGTAAAAAACCTTTAATAGGGTACTTCCTAAGCTTTTTAACTGCTGAATTGTTGAATTCCTAGCAGCTCTTTCAAATGAATCAAATTTTGTAAAGTTTCACCGACGCAATAGCCCACAATTTATAGAAAATACTTGTGAATTTGCTGAAAAAACAGGGCTGCCACTCTCTTTTACTAAGCGAAAGATGGTAGCTCTATATAATTCTAGCCAAAAAGTTGAATGAAAAGTTTAGATTTGGATATGAAAATGGTAGCCCTTTAGGTAAACTTTATGTCAGGAATGGGATAAGGGATCTCCACATGAATGAAACTCAGTATTTCTTAAGTAAACCATCATTTATTATGTTTCTTAAGCAATGTTTAATATGGCTGCTGTTTGTTATTCCTCGCAACTTTATGTTTATTTAAATAAAACAATCCTTTTAAGAGGACAATTAGTTTATTATTTATTGGAAAAAAGTGCATATAATTTTTCCATTTAATTGGCCAACTTTCAGTTCAAGCTGGGTAAGTGCCACCGTTATCCGATGGCATCCAAATTGGGTCCAACTTGTAGCCCTCATCGTAGATGATCTCGTCGCCAATTTTCACCACCAGGGGCTTCGGGCCTTCGGACTTGGGTTTCACGAGCTTCATCAAATTACGAGGAACCTCCGTGGCACGGGCAGTAGAAAATCCACGAGCTGGGAGGTGACGAGCTGGCGGGGCGCGAGCTGGGAGGTGACGAGCTGGCGGGGCGCGAGCTGGGAGGTGACGAGCTGGCGGGGCGCGAGCTGGCAGGTGGCGAGATGGTGGGGCGCGAGATGGCACGTGGCGATATGGCGATTGGCGATATGGCGATTGGCGATATGAGCGTCCAACAAAAGAGCTTGATGGACCAAACTTCAAAATGCCAGCCTTCGATGTAACATACTTCGATGTACAAATCCTTGATGATTCAGACTTCGATGCGCCAGCGTTTGATGTGCCAGAAGGTTCCTCGCGCATCTTGACCTCGTCACCTGTAGTTTTTTGCTCCAGCACCCGCTTCAGTGTATCGATCTGACGATGTAGATCCTCCATGCGCTTCTTCTTGGCCAGGGATTCGGCTTGAGCGTTTTGCTGCTCACGGTAGGCCGGGCCGAAGAAGTGCGTCCGCTCGAAGTGACGGCGCAGTTCGTCACTGGTCGGATTGCGTCCAAATCCCGGGCGATCTAGCTGCCACGATGGCTGTACATGACGCTCGTAGTAGTCATCTAAACGGAACTGGAGAAAGTCCACCAAATTGGTAACAAATGCATCACAATGCTTACCCAGCGACATGAAGGCTGCACTTCCAGTTAAAAAATTCATCTCCCGCGTAAGACATATTTTCTTTTCGTTGCGTTCCATTTTCTTGAAAGTTTTTTTTTTGGCGTAGTTCTGAAGAATTATGGAAGTGGAACTTTTTTCCTCGATTATCGTTCAGTCAGTGACAGGACGTGAAAATATCGAGAAACGGAGACTGAAAGTCGATCAATGGGGCTATTATGAGCTATCGATTCCAGTGACTAAAGAGGTAGAGTAACTCCAAAATTTTTGAATTTTGGCTTTTTTAAATTAATAATTAATTTATTATTTAATAAATGCTAGGCTATTTTTAAGAAATGTCTAGAAGAACCTCAAAGATTGCTGATGGTGGTTTCAAAAATATTTGAAACTTGAAGTTTTTCAAACTAAATCCTCGAAGCTCTTTAGCTTTATGATATATCTTATATTTTTAATAAGAATGCTTTAAATAAATATAGAAATAAATGGTTTTTAGAGTTTGTGACTTTTTATCGAAAGTTTTCAATTCAAAAAAACGGTCAAAAAAAGTGTTTAAAAATTGGGTCAACCAAGAATTGAAGGACGATGAAGTTTATCGATTTCTGAGAGGGAATCCGTGTTAGGAATAAGAATAACCGTGTAAATATACTTACATATTATATATCGGAAGAAAAGAATAAAAAGTAATAATAGATATAAATATCATATAGCCAAAAAACACAATAGTCTTCTTTAAAGATTTTAATAAAAATCAGATCCAAGAAGATCCAGGTATAATATAGTTAGATCTCTAAATAGACTTTCATTCTTTCCTTTTTTTTATGAAACTGCAACCGATATTTAATCGTTTTTCAATATAATCCCCCAACACTTGGCCAATTCTTACCCTTTATGTTGCCATTTTTTTTTAATTAAAGGTGATTCCGATTCCAATCTCTGGAAATACACCTGTACCCCCCATATCTTAATAGTTGAAATGTAATTGAGTTTTCTTAATAAAACATGACGCCATTGGCTAAATATTTGAGGGCTCTTATCGGAAACGCTTTTGCTTTTTGTTTGGATGTATTGTATGGAAGTTTATTTATGTATTTATATAGGTATTATATCTAGTTCTAGGTAATATGATTTGTTTTCTGCTCCGCCGTTTTGTTTGCATTGGAAACTCGAGCAAACAAAGTCTGGCTTGTGGGTTATGTACAGTGTTTATTAAATAATAGAAACTAGCGATGCAATATTTTCAACAAAAATACAATTAAAATTATGGAAATAGTTAGATGTGTAGAGCAAAAAAAAAAAAGGATGCGAATATGATAGGTATTTATAGATATTATATGCCGCTGCAAGTCCGATTTTGTACTCTCCTCCCTCTCGTCTTGTTTTCTTTTTGAAAGATATTGCACAATGGATGTATCCTTGAAGTTTAGTTCCCAAACTTGATGGACTTTTCGGGATGCTGGCTTGTTCCATGATTGAAGCTGGCGCTGCTCCTTTGGTTTCCGTTTTTCAGGATGCCATTCGAGCCGGCCTCTCCGTTCATTTTTCGCAGAGTTTCTCGTTTTCCGGCCCTCTGATCGCCGTACTCCCCAATGGTCACTGTACCGAGCCGCAGGGTTCTCCTTTGCTGCTGCTGAAGGGATGCACTTGCTCCCGATCCCGATCCTGTGGCGTTGCCATTATTCCCACGCAGTTGAACGGCGTCGTAGTCGGGCTGGGGAGTTATGGGGGGCCGGAAGCCACCGACACTGATGCTGGCACTCCTCATGGGCGACATGGGCTGCTTGACCTTGGCCAAGCTGCCATTGCCCGGGACATTGCCATTTCCGTGTCCGCTGCCATTTGCTGTTCCATTTCCGGTTATTAGCTTGGCCGGCAGTTGCTTGGGCTGTGGATTGGCAAACTGTGGTGGCTGGAAAATATAAAAAGAAAGTGATTCTTTAAAATATTTATAAAATAATGCAGTTTTTTAAATGATCTTGGTAAGCCTTTAGAACTCTCTATAGTAGCTTTTAAAATGTTATTTATATTTTTAAGATTACTTTGTTTATCTAAAAAAAACAATTTGTTTTTGTGACAAATTCTGTCATTCTTGAAGATTACGCGATATATTTGGATAAGCTGATTCATATTCAGATAAGACAGGTCTTCAAAGGTATAATTATCTATTAATAATATATTAACAAACTTTTTCTTAAAAAAATATCCAGTGATAAAAAATATTTTCCAGAACATTCTTTAAATTCTTTTATTATTTTGTTTAAATTTTGAATTAATTTTTATGCTTTTTTTTTTTTTAAATTATTTGCTTACCGGGGGCGGAAGCTCGGGCGATCCATTGGCGCTGTTACCATTTCCGTTCGCCGGTTTGGCTCCATTTTGTGGCAGGCGACTCTGGCTGTTGCGATTGTTGGTAAGAGCATTGTTGGCAAAAGCGTTGCTATTGTTACTGTTGCGATAGCTGCTATCATCGGGCATAATCGAGGTGCGTTTTAGCGTCTCACCACGTTCCTGCAAAAAAAATCCAACAAATCATTAAAAAAAAAATAATGGAAAATATTTATAAGATTTGAGAAAAGCAATTTCCACCAAAATATACCTCATAGGTGGACATGGTGACGAGAGGACGACCCATGCTGACTGGTCGCATGGTGGGCATGGACCTCGCCCCGCCTGCTGGCCACTCCTCCTCGCCCCCGCCTCCTGGACGGTTCTTCGTTCGCAACAAACTCATTCCGGCCGCCGGAAAACCAAACAAAAAATAATCGAACCGCTCAACAGAAAATTCTGGGCAAGACTGAACGCCACCGGCTGGGACGATACTGCAACTCGCCCGATTCCCTCCAACTGATTAGATAAAGCCATTGAGGAACAGTCACAGTTAACAGGCCCCCCCCCCACCTCCTCTCTTGGCCGACTTTGTTGTTGGCCCAGCTTTTGTTTTGGTTCCTCTGGTTTTCACTCAGAGAGTGGGGGAGACTCACGGATGACTCACCCCATCGCACGTCTGCTTTTGGCCATAATTGTTGGCCAAAGTAATGGCCTATAATGGCCACAAATCACAATCGAAGTGTCATCGTTGGCACCGGGGCCATTTCTAATTCTAATGCAATTCACAAAAAGTAATCAGTCCCAGTGATAACATATCGATAAGTTGCATAATAATCGGTGGATTTTCAAAGGAAGCCTCCTTAAAATTGATTTGTGGATTTGTCGTAAGCTTATCGGCCATAAATTAGTTTGAAAAATGATTGCAAAATATTAAATATGAAAAGTAATTAAAATTAAATGAGATTAGGCCAAAAGAGTGTTTCGATATAATGTTAAATAATCGCTGGAAATTCGATTAAAGCGATTACTTTTGGTTTTAAGAAGTGGGTATATTTTATTATCAGAAGCTTATCGAAAACCTATAAACTGACTTCTTCTCCCCCTTGGGATCTCTTAACTTGACCCGTTATTATGATTCATTTTGATTAACACTTATCGATAACTGATAACTAATGAAGTCGATCCAATCTGACCGATAAGATGCCATCAAACCGCCATCCAATCAACACCCTCTCATTCAGAAAACCCTCTTACCTATCAAGTGGCTTGAGTACTCGAGATGTGTGCATTGTTGTTGTTGTTGTTGGGTAACAACTTTTGAATAACTGGGCCAAAACAAGTGCAGCTAACAGAGCCCTCTCCGATCTCTTGACCTTTTCCAAGTAGCCAGCAATACATATACTATATATGTATTATTGTTGCTCACCTTGTGCTCACTCTCATGGAACCCGTTCCTGAACATTCGTTGGTGAGCCCGCTTGAATTCATCCATCAGCGCCGTATGCTGGTCGGCACCTGCTGCTCCTCCAGTGGCGCCTCCATTAGCACCTCCACCTCCGCCAGATCCCAGGGTATTATTGCGATCGCTGCCCGGGGAGGTAACACCGCTTCTCTGACGATGTGGCACTGAACCATTCGATATGGAGCCTCTATGGTGATGGAGGCCATGTCCACTTCCATTACCATTTCCATTTGTAATCCCACTGCCATCGCGTTCTCTATCTCGATTATTGTTGCGCTGCTGTTGCTGTTTCTGAAATTTTGTTACATTTTTTATAAAAAAGGCTATCGAGTTCCCAATCCCCAATCCCAGTTGCTCCAGTCAGTGCCCTTCCCTTACCTCTTTGCGTTTCTTGAGCTCCTCGTTTATGGCACTGGAGAGACTGCTGCCGTTGATGCCACCACCGCCAGTGGCTGTTCCATCAATCATGGCAGGAGGCGGTGGAACAGGTGCTCCAGATCCAGTTCCCGATCCAGATACTAGTCCAGAGGCAGCTGCTGATCTGGCGATGGATCCTGATCCTGCGGAGTTGACTGGTCGCAGGTGAGTGCGTTTCATGGTGGTGCTGCGAGACACCGACTGGCTGCGCGAAGAGGAACCTGATACGGAGCTAGAGCCCGAGCCGGAAACAGTGCCGGAACCAGAAGCCGAACCCGATCCGGAAACAAAGCCCGCACTGGCGATGTAAGTGTTGTTAATGGAGGTACCATTCTCCGTCAGTTTGATGATCGTTTTGTTCATCTGCTTGTGTACTTCCACGTTTTGTGACCAGTTGGCATTGCCGGAGACCGCACCGGCCACACCTCCATTGCCAGCCTCCTCTCTGACAGCGGTGAGGCGCTTGGACTTGGCATCCGCCCAGCAGGGACTCTGATCGCCGGTCACCGAACTGGCGGAGCTGTTGTAGCCACTGGACTCGCCCGGAAACAGATCGCAGCCGGCCGCCGTCCGCACCACCATGTCCAGCTTGCTGCTGCTCTTCATCACGGCCACCGCCTCCGAGAACAGGACGTCCGAGAAGTCGATGCTGTTGACGCTGAGGATCTGGTCGCCCGGCCGCAGACCCGCCTCCCTCGCCACACTCCGCTCCTTGGTGAACTGCACAAAGATGCCGGGCTTCCATTCCGGTCCCTTGCATATGCCCAGGCCCAGTTTGGTGCGGGGTGCCACGTGCAGGACTACATTGATATCCCGACTCCCGCCGCCACTGCCCGCCAAGCCCCGCCCTCTATCCACGGCCTTGAAGGAGCTCTCGGAGGGGGTGCCACTCACGCTGGGCAGCTTCACGACGCTCCAGGACAGGCGCTCCTCGGGCTGACTGAAAGGTAAGCGTTTGGATTAATGGATGATCTGGGTATAATCCAGTGGAGCACTCACTCTCTGACCGGCAGCATGCCCACACCTCGCACCTTCATCGTGACCCGGTCCTGGCTGGCCACCAGTTGGATGAACTCCTTGTGCACCGCGTCGTCCAGTCGAAAACCATTGATGCGCAGAATTTGATCGCCAATCTGGAAGGGAGTGACTCGAATGAGCTCGAATTTGGAGCACTGGAAGCCATCACGTCCGCGGAACGTGACTTACCCGTAGACCCTTCAGCTGCGCCTCTCCCCCGTGCTCCACATGGGAGACGAAGAACCCAGTGCCGTGCTCCCGTCCCCCGCGCACAGCAAAGCCGTACGTACTGCCGCGCTCCGGGCCGCCGACGAGGAGACGCCTCTGATGGGGCCGCACCAGACGGAGGACGCGCAGCCGGGAGCTGGCCGGGATGGCGCACCACGAGGAGGCGGCTGTGGTGGTCAGGGTCATGACGTCGCTGGAGGCCGAGCTGGTCGTCGATCCCTGCATGCTGCTGCTGCAGTCCGTCGACGTGGAGACGGAGGCAGAGCCGGTTACCGAGGCGGCGGCGGAGACAGAGGACGCCGTCATCGTCATCATTTTAAAAGGATCTGGTGAGTACATAATATTTTTTTAATCTCAATATTCTAATTCAATAAATCGAGGGTTTACTGTAGAATACTAAAGTGCCAAAACAAAAAAATCCTAAAATTCAATCAAGCGCTTCGGTTTCATGCGAAAGTTAAAGAAAGTGGGGAGTGTCGGCCCCTTGCCGCTGGCCACTCCCCCACTTCTCCCCCTATCCTACAATTGGCTACGTGCAACGACTGACAAGTAATACACCAAAAAATAAATAAAGAATGCAATACATGAGCAAAACTTGAACTTGCAATCGAAATTTCCCAAATTGGGTCACACGCATCGCAAGAGTCGGTGGCGGCTGTCGGCTGTCGGATGAGGAGGATGGTGGTGGCTCTGCCACTTGGTGGTGCCGCTGCTGGTAGTAAGTAATGCCTGCTTTCACGCACCACTGCCAGCTTGAAGAAACAACAACAAAAAAAACAACCAAATAAAGAGATCTGCGACGATTCGCGTTCACCATTCGCATAATTTCACTTTTTCACGTAATTCTATGCTTCACTTGAAACGCCATTGCCTTCAAAAGGTAAAAGTAAATTTAAAAAAAAAAATTATAGACATTTGTTTTAATGTTTATTAATTAAATTATGAACTAGATAATAGCACTAGCAAGTCTAATACTTTATTTATTTTTAATAAAAAGGCCTGATGTCAGTGGCCTGTTTGAGTTTCGATTTCTTACTTTTAAAATTTGATTTAAAATATTAAAGGTTTCTAAGAGATAATAAAATATTTATTTTAATAAAATCTAATGTCATTAAAGTCTTTTTAAGAAAAACTTGAATCAATAAATAGGTTCTCTTTAAAAGTAATTGAATTTTACAATTTGCTCTGTCGAGTCTATCTAGCAATTACCCGGCCATGTGATCTCTCATCTCTCATATTGCAATAACCCCTTAAAAAAAAATAATAAAAAATAGCTTGACTTGTGGACTTGAATTGAAGGCATAGTTAGAAGCGATTTGTTATTTTTTTTTTAACTGCTCCAACTGCCATATAAATCATTTACATCGTTTTTTAAGCTTCGCCGCGCACTGTTAAAGTTCAACTCACTTACTTACGACCCGAACACTGAATTGGCTGCCAGAGGGGGGCGTGGGGGGGTGAGGTGTTTTGGCCACAAATTGCCTCAGTTACCCACTTAAGCTAACAACAACAACAAAAGCAGAGTCATAACAAACTCCAAACTGACGCAACTGGCAATTACTCGAATCAAAACATTTATAATTGCCCGGCAACCTAATGATGAAATATGAATCGGAATTGGGAATCGGGAATCGGAATTCGAATTTTTTTGAATTGCAATCCAAATGTGAAAAAGAAATAAATCATTTAATAATAAATATAGGGAGTTGCCTTTGATAATAATGGCTGGAGAGAAAACTTGGCCAAAAGCGAATGCAATATTTAATCATAGAATTGGCCAACGCACATGGCCAGGTAGTTATCGTTTGAGAAATTAATGGCTATATTATATTAATAGCTATTGTATCACTAAAAGAAAGGCTCACATATCTTGAGAAATTTTAATCAATTTTAGTTAACAAAGTGGCTCAAATTGGAAAGATTGGTACGAGTGGTTTGGCAAGAAATAATATTGCTTATGAGTGTATTTCATTATTTGGTGGAGAATCAATGGTTATGGTTTATAAAAGTGTAAATTATAACTAATTTTTACTATAAACTAATTGAGACTATAAACTATATATTTTTTGTTTAATTTTTTAATTTTAAAAACCTTAAAACCTTTTGAAAAGAAAGCTCATAAATCATTCAAGTGGCGCCCGTACCTCTGCGTAGAAAATAAATATATTTAAAGAACCCTGATCGCTCATCGAACTCTGACAGTAAGTGTCTCTATATAGACAAGTAATGTATTATTTAAAAGAGAAATTCTTTTGTTATATTTTTTTCTTATAAAAGAATTCAAACTGAAACCGAAACTGAAACCGACAAAAAAAAAGACAGACAGACACAACATGAACTCGCCAAGAAACTCGAGCAAGCGTGATTATCAATTTAAAGAGAAGTGTTGCTAATGTGACTCCAACGAATCTGAATCTCGATCCGGAATATATACCTATAAGTATTCCAAACCAAAAGAAAAAAAAAGAAATGGAAATGGGAAAACACTTAACGCGCTTGTCACGCACATGTACTGGGTAGATGGGCGGGGTTTTTGGTTTCTTGGGTCTTGTTGGGCTTTTTTTTCAGAACAACCCAAAAAAAAAAAAAGACACTATATAGTAGTACCCCACATATGTACGTGAGCTGAGAAAAAAAACTGGATGCTGGACCAGCAAAAAAAAAAAGCAAACTAAAATTATCATATGCGGAGAAAGTCCATGTCCATGTCCAAATAATTACTACATTTTTGCTGCTTAAGAAGAAGCATCCGCATAAAAAAATAAACAACAAAAACAATAACAACTTGGCCATAAAAAAAAAGTCGCTTTTTTTTTGTTGTTAGCGGAACGGAAAAATTTCTTTGGAAATTTGTATGGAAATAAAAATCAGCCAATGGTCAGATTTAGATTCAGATTCGGATTCAGAGTCACTGACAGCAGCAATTGTGGCTGCCACACCATGTTGCTTGTTATTTCTTTCTTTTTGTTTTGTTTTAAACTTTGAAGCCCCTCTGTGTTTTTTCAATTAAAGTTTTAAGCAAAAGCCGAGCAATTGCCAAACGGAAACCGTACGGAAAGTGTCAACACGAATCCGAGAGGCGTGACAGGAAGCGGCAGTACCACAGCCACCAGCAACAACAACAACTCATTAGAACTAATTGCCGAAGGGGTTAACAGAGGGGGGAAAGACTGGCTAGTGGGGGGCATGGTCATGGGGCACTTTTGTGTGGCAGTTGCTGCTGCTCGGGCAGGTGAAAGGCCGTCAAAGATGATGGCCAGTGGTTGGGTTTAAGCCCTGTTTTGTTAGCTGTTACTTTCTGCTGTTGCACTTGTTTGGCTTGAAACTTAATTGTAACTGCCAAATAATTTGTAGCAGCCACAAGAAACTACAAAAAAAGAGATTATCATTATTATTATTATTATTATTACTATTATGGCTGCGACTGGCGGTGGCTCTCTTTCTCTGTGGAAAGCCAAAAAGGGAGCGGCAAGTTGCAGGTTGCAAGTTACCAACCAACCAACTGCCGATTGCCGATTGCCAGTTGCCAGTTGCAAGACAGGTCAGGAAACTGTTGCATTTAGAGAGATGAAATCTAAACTAAGCCACCGATAATTGCCACTAATTTGTGGCATTGCCGAGATGCCAAATTGAAAGCGGATGTGGGATGAATTTTTATCAATACTTGTTAATCGACTTGACCGTGCCGAGTTTGTATTTATTTATTTAATTGCTTAAAGGTTACTTATTAAATTAATTGTTATAGGATATTTTTTTATAGAGTGGAGCATGGAGGTTTTCGAGCATGCTATTATTTGAGAAATGGACAGTTTTTAAAAGAAAAGTCAAAAAACAAGCAATTAAAACTAAAAATTAAGCTTAATATGACATCAAAGCTTAAGCATTAAACCTTATTATTATATTACACAAAAACTCTAAATTATTCAATTAATAAGTAAACTAAATTTTTCTAATTTTAATTAAATGAATCTTTGAATTTCTATCTTTTTTTGCGAAATAAAGTCATCACCCTAGGACCCTAGGAGGAGGGGTGCCCCTTATCTGGGGCTTTGGATTCCAAAAACTGCACCCCATGATTTCCCAAGGGAGGGGAGAGGAGGGAGTAGCCATCAAAAGCGGGGTCGGGTCGTGTCAAATACCAGTGTTCCATCATCAGACTGATTTATCTCGGCAGCTGCCAAAGTCGCGTTCGTTGCCTAAGTCTTTCGATTCAAAGATTACAAAAATGAGAAAAAAAATCATTTGAAAATTTTTGTCTCTGAATGGTGACAGAGGAGGGCGGGTCTCTGAGATCATTGGGCAGGGTTTTTTAATTGCTCACGTGTGGAGGCAGCAACAACAGTAGCTGCCAGCAACCCTTTGGCGGCAATTCAAATGAAAATATTTGCACGTATTGCTCATATACGTTTTTCTCAAGTGATTTTCAAAATCATTTTCATATTTGAATAAGCCTTGTTTGTTTGTTACTCGTTTTTTTTTCTTTCCCGGGGAAAGGGGGCCAATAAAGAAATGCCTGGTTCAGCTTGGCTGACTGCCGTTGATGTTGCTACTTTGGCATAAGAAAGAAATTATAATAAATAAAAGAGAAATTTCTGTCGAATTTGTCCGTTGGACAGGCAGGCAGGCAGCAAGCACACGTGTGTGAGTCAGAGAGATGTTGCATGTTGTATGGCTAGTTTGCAACTGCAACTGCACCTGCGCCTTAAAGCCTGAGCTTTTACTTCCGCCGACTGCAATCAGGCACCAAACGCACGACTGACAACGTGACAAATTGTCGATAATCTATAGTTAGGCATCCTTTTTTTTTTCCCATATGGATGGAGGATGGTTGCATCCTCCTCCACCACCTCCACCTCCACTACCATCTGCCGCCACAAAACGAATACTTGTGGTGAAACTTTTGTTGTTGCTTATCGCCAAAATTTGCAAGCAATGTCAAACGTGGGTTATGCCACCAGCCAGGCAGCCAGGCAGCAGACAAACCGAAGAGGATGCGCCAAAACCATGGCCATAATCGTGATGCAGCAGCCGGCAACTCCATAAATACCAAACGCCAATGCTGCAAGGAGACAACATTGCAGCTGCAGGCTAAGTAGCTTGGTAGCTGGATAGCTGGGATCTGGGATCGACTGCTCCTTTGCCCGGAGAAAGCTGCTGTGCTGAGCTGTGCACTTTTACTCCACCGGCTCATTTTAATTGCAGAACATTAACAACACAAAAGGGAAGCAGCCGATGAAGAAGAAGGCCTACAACAACCCGACTTTCACCTTCGGGGCCAATTAAATGCAGCTTATGCAACATGCAACCTTGTGCCTTGTGACATCAGCCGCATCATCAATTGTCTAACTGGCCCTTGGCTATCCACAAGGTCTTCCTCTCTAAGCTTTAAAACAGTTCATAAATCAAAACTTAAATAATTAAATAGTTGAAAATATTTAGAAGCTGTTGTATGACGACTGGTTGTCATCATAAGTTGAGTGTTTTAAGTGCCACAGGGGCTGGTATTTATGTATGTGGCAATATGACAATCAGGCACATCATCAGTGGCACAAACATCAGATAGTTGGGGGAGTGGCGGAGGGGTGCTTCCAGACAATTTAAATTTTGCGCTTCAAATCATTCAGAGTTTGATTGCGTGCAAGATGAGCCTGCCTCTTCATTTGCCTGATTGCGTCAGGCTGGAAATTGGCAGCAACACTTGCAACAGCAACATATAGCTGCACAATGGTTGGATAAAATGGCACCAGCATTGTACAGCTCTTGGTGTTTACTTTTGTAAAGTCCACTGTTTCGGCAGCGAAATGCAACACCACTAACTAACACCAGCAACAGCATCAGAGGCATCTGTGGCAACTTCAGCAACTGCGGCAGCATCATCATCAGCCTTAGCTGCTATTGAACTTTTGCTATTTTGGCCAAGATTCTCACACACCTGCTGAGCCGAGCTGAGCTGAGCGGAGCCAGCCACCCACTTGCAGCGTGTGAAACGTTGCTGCAACAAGACTCTGTTTCAAGTACGTTTGCTGCCTTAATGTTGCGCCCTAATACCAAGTAAGACGAAGGGGCGTGCCACTTGGGTAAATGACCGCTGATGGCGGCAACGAAAAAAATTGAATTGTTTTGCATAAATTGATGTTTCGTCTGTAATTTCTGTTGTTTTTTTTTTTCTTTCAGCTTCTTTGGTGTTGGTGGTGTTTTAATTGAAGTACATTGTTGGCCTGTTCCTTGTTAACCCCTCCCTTACACTGAAAGAAACTCGGTTCCAAACAGTTATGATTTTCCACAAGACTTGAGATGGTGATTGAAAGACAGTCTTGGAGCTGTCTTTTAAAAGCAAAAGTGTGTAAAGTTTTCCAAATTGATGAAATTACACTAAAAAAAACTAAAAACTTTAAACTAAAGTAATTAAATAAACTAAATATTAAGACAAAAATTCCTAATCCCTTCCCAAAACCTGTATAACTCTTGTTTAGTTTCTATAACTTTTTTTTCTTAGTGTAGTTATGTCTACTTGCCCCCTTTACCCCCTCTAGCTAGCCAGGCCCACGCTCCCACAGCAGCTGGCATATCCAAATCCCACAGCAAAGCCAAGGAGATGGAGCAGCAAACGTGCCACAGCTGGCGGCCCAGCTGCCACTTCTTGCTGCCACTTGGCGGACCAAAGGGGCGGGCCATCTGGCTCTGGGGAGGAGGCGTGGTGGCGGAGGCGGCCGGGAAACTGGATTGAATGGGCGCGGCCTTAGTGGCTTGGTGGCGGCTCACAGGCTGCTAGCATCTGCAGATCATCTCCTTCTTGCCACAGCGAAAGTTGCAAGCGAAATCTAGACAAGAAGGCGCATTCTGGAGCGGCACGGAGCATGGAGCACGGAGGGCAATGGACTATAATCTGGGATTTAACAGGGTAAGTAAGAGGGTATATATAGAAGGGTATATAAGGGATATAAGCCAGCCTAGACTTCTGGGTCTTGAGGATAGGATACTATCTTATTCTTAAACTTCTTCTAAGCTAGATTCTCCATGAGGTTTCTATACTTGCTGAGCTTTCTATATCTTATCACATCTCTCATATTATTATTAGTTACTATAATAATCATAATCCAACCTGGACTGGAATCCAATCTTCTTGAACTTGATCATTATATGAACTTCCTATATACCTTTAGCTTCTAAACCTTAGAGTTTTAACCACTCTCCCTCATATTCCTAATCATATCTCTGATATTATTACCAATATCTCTTAATACTGTCTATAGAAAACGTTCCTCTAAAAATCATAAACCTGTTCAACAAAAAAAAAACCCTTCTCGTTAACCCCATAAGCTTTTTACTCTAATTACCGAAGATAAACATAAACTAACGTTTACTTAGCCAAGATTTGGCAACGGTTGCCAGTGGGTTAACTCTACTTACTGGCTAAGACTCTGGCTCAGACACTGGCTTATCCTATTCCGCAAAATGCCAGCCAGTAGAAAATCCAACCAGTCCAACAGTCGCCGCCACCAAACTCTGTCCCTGTGTCCGCTGGTCCGTCTTGTCCGCTTGGCCAAAAATGCCATCTGAGGCTAACTGGGCGGCATGGCAAGGCAGCCCACCGCGAACTGGTTGCCCAGGCCGATGGTGGCAACGGGCTTGAATTACAAAAGGAGCCTGAACTAAGTTGAGAGCTAGAGCCGAAGCCAGAGCCTGGGCAACCGCTTTGCTTTTTATTATAATTTCAGTTTTGTGTATCTATGAGATACGCGCAACGTGAATTGGCATTTTCCATTTGGCAATTTGCATGTGCAACGAATGTCCATTGATTGCAATATTGAAATATTGATTGCAATATGGATGCCCTCTCCCAGACATATCCATATGGCGGAAAATCAGGAAAAACTGTCCGGGTAATTAAGGCAGCATTAACGCCCCATCATCATGGGAATAAGATAGCGATGATCATCATCATCATCATCATCATCATGATGACGAGCGATGACGAGGCCAAAATCGTTGGCCAGGAAATGCAATTAACCGATTGGCCCACAACAAGAGGTGGTATTCGAAAGTCTCAGTTGGTGTTGTAGGGGGTGGGGTGGGGGGGTTTTGTTGTTGGCTGCCTTACCGCAGGCCTCTTGGCCAGGTGCTGCTCGCCAGGTAAGTCGTCTACCTACATCGGTATCTGTGTGTGTGTGAGCTTGCGTCTCGAGTATCCAAATTGCTGGCGGGGATTGCATAAGAAGCCTGGCTCTCCAGCCTGTTGTCCAGCCATTCCATTCAAGACCCGGCTCAATCAGTTGGCCAGGCCATCCATCAATCATAACCCAGAGCCCCGGCTAATTTCCTCTCCACTCCACTCCAGAATCTATTCTGCTAATTGATTCCAGAATTTCAATTTTCAAACCTTATCAGCCCGCCTGTAGAATCTTTAGAGCATTGCTCTTTCATGGTAATTACTTTTCTTTTCTTCTCTCTCTCTCTCTCTTACCTTTCTTTTCTATCTCTTTCTCTGTCTGGGTCTGAATCTATAAGCCCCCATAATTTTGCGGGCAATTTATCAGAAGCCTCGTCTGCTATCAATGAGGTGTTCAATCACTTGGCCAAAACCATTAATCACAGGGAGCTCTGATTGGTTTCTGGATGGTTTTGTTTTAAGCTTATATCTATGATCTGAGAACTTGGAAAATATTTTAAAAATTGTATACTACTTAATTGGAAAATTAATATAACGATCTATTTAAATCATATTTTTACCTGTATGTAAAAAAATAGTGTAGTTCTCTCTCTCGAAAATAATTGCAATTGAAGGCCCTAACGCTATTACTGCATTCTTTGTTTGTTAGTCTTCGTTTTTTAAATTAAGAAATCATCTTAAGTAAATAAATAAATTTTTTTTATGACTATTAGATCATTCTTTTCAATCAACTTTTTCACCTAAAAAGCTCCTAAACCTTAAACTAAACTATATACATATTTAAAAAATGGAGAATAAAGGACTCATTCTAAATAATATTTTGTTTTGGATTTTCCGTCTTATAACAATCTGCAATAATATAATAATTTTTAACTTGTAATTTTCTAATTTCTTGCACTGTTTTAGTAGGTGACGAAGGGCCACAAGAAGGTGCGCAAGGATTCTAGACTTATTTCAGCTTCTATTTAAAGTATATATATTTATTTAACAACTTTTTAGATCATTTCTATCATCTTTAATAAACATCAAAACATATTCTCTTAAAAATATAATTTTAAACAATTTCAATTAAAAAAAAAGCCCCAATTTCCTGCCAAATAGCTGCCGAATTTTCCAAAAGAAGACCCATTGAGAACTTTCTTCTCACATCTCTGTTTATTTGGCTTGAACTTCAAAGTATTTAGAGCAGATCAAACACGAAACTAACAAATAACAATAATAAAAAATACTTGCAAGGCCGCGTCATGGAGTCACAATTAACGTATTATTTATAAATATTTTTTTGGAAAAATTGTGTCGCCCGTTAAGCGGCTTACCGATTACAGGCTACCAAGACGACAACTAATAATAACAAACCAAGGTATTCTTTTTCTCTTCTCTACCAGTATTTTTAACAATCAACAAATGAAGAAACCCAGGCATTAAATTACAATTCCCACACACATGGCTTTTGCTAAGTACTTCATGGTGTTGCAATTCTTGGTATTTCTATACTAGTTTTTTTTGCTATTTTTTTTTTATTTACCTCATTTGCGGTTTGGAAGTCCCCAGAAGAATGTTGAGCAGAAGACGCAGAGGAAGAGGCGGCGGTAGAATCTCCAGCGAAATACTCGAATCTTGGCAATTAGAGCGCGACAAAAATAATAAAAACAACAACAACACAGGGCACACACACGCAATTATTGCTGAATATTTGCAAACTGCAGAAAAAAGCGCAAGCCAACCAAAAAAAATCCAAAAAAAAAAAAACAGAACACGAAGATAAAAAATAAACTTCAACTGAGGCTAAAAAAAAAAGACGCGCTGCACTTTACACTTTTGTGGCTTGAAGCGCTCAGGTGAGACAGAAGACAGGTGCAACGGTTGCACTTTCAGCACTTTATTTTTTCCGGCTCTCGGTAGAATCTCAAAAGTAAGCCAAAATCACTCCACAAAGAAAACAAAAAATGTGTTTTTTAAGCCAATATGTAAAATTGGCAATTTAAATGTTTTGTGTTTATTTTTTAGATTACAGCGCGCTTTTTTTTTTGGGAGAAGTGTATTCCTCGTAGTTCCCCAGAAGTCGCGAGTTTCTCCGTACTGCCGATGCGAAGTTCCCAACAGGCAGCCACAAATTGAAGCGCCAATGAAGTTTAGGAATCGTCGTCACAGTAACCGCGCCACCTGAGGCAGCGTTGCCACTTTCCACAAAAGCCGCCAGAAAAAAGCTATAAAGCACAGGGTGCTCTTGCTCATTGCGCGGGAAAGCTAATTGAATTTAAAATCTGTTTGAGGGCCTACAAGTATTATTGAAACATAGATCCGAAAACAAATGCTGTTGTTTTTATCTAAGTTTAGAGTAGTTTTTTTTAAACGATTACTAATGAAAATGCATTTTAATAATAAATTGAAACAAAAATTTGTATTAAGGCCACTTTTTAGAAACCTTTGCTAAATTATCTATATTGGTAAAACTAGAAAAAAAATTATCTAAAAACTGAAATCTAATTAAAAAACATAGTAAACATAAAGTTAATACAAATTAATACCAAAAGCAATTGAGTATTTTTAAATTTAGCTTGAAACAAGCTAAGCTTGCAGTTCTGCAAGTCTAAGAGCGCCAAAAAAGCGCGATGATCGCGCGAGCTACCAGATCTTTGTTTGATATTCAAAAAGCAAGTCCTTACGTGCATACATCCAAAAAGGTGAAAATTGAATTAAAAATGCATTTTTATTAACAAAACTCATAAAAACTCAAAACTCATAATTTTTCTATGTTCCAATGGTAGGAGTAGAGCCAGAAACAAGATTAACATGCAAGTTTTAAGAATTTTCAATGAAAAACACGCATTTTTTTAAGCTCAAAGCCTAATTATTATCGAAATCATGTTTTTCTTTTATATTTCGATGTTACCAACGCGAGAAGAATTAAATAACTTACATAACTAGGAAAAAGGCCACACTCAACCGAAACTTTTTCCGTCGTTGCAAGCTCCTTTTCCGGTCTTTTTCTCCTCTGCGCTCCACGCTAACGGAACCCTTCCAGAAACATCTGCGAAGAAAAAACAGAAAAAATAACAAATTCTGCGAAAGAAAACAACACATTTGTTTCAAAAACATCAGAAAACTGTAAGTAAGATGTCTTTAAACCCCGAAACTGGGAAAACACCTTTCTACGACTATGGGGACGCGTCCAGCATTAAGAACGCGGTGCTTCCGTTGGTGTCCAGCAACTGCTCGGACTATGCGGTGGCCTTTTCCAACTACGAAATGCGCCCGGCCCGCCAGATCGGCGAGGTGGACCTCATGATCCCTATGGCCAAGCTGGGCATGCACAGCTTTCTGCGCCTCCACAGCTACTCGTGGCCGCATCTCGTCAAGGGCAGGAGCTACGGCGCCATGGTGGTGAGTGCTCCGCGTAGTGGTCGCACTCTATCCTATCTACCGCCGCTCTGTCACACCGTTTGCAAGACCGTCCAGAATTTGGTTCGATATCCGGAGCTACGTGAAAAGTTTACCGGGCCGATGGCCGTGATTGTGGTGGCCAACAAGGAGCAGGTACACAACGTCAGCGGTCTCTGTTTCGCCTTGCTGAAGCAATCGTGTCCGCGACTGGACGAATTCACCCTAACCCTGAACGTGCCGCCCAGTGGATATACCCGGGAATTCGTACTGAGGTTGTTAGCCGGCGTAGCGTGCTTGGTGGTCACGGCGGCCCAGCTGGACTGGGTAATGCATGAGTACAGGGAGGACCTACGCTCTGGCTGGACAACGCGATATCTGGTCTTAGACAATGTGGATCTCATGGGCGAGACGCCGGTGAAAATGTCCCGGGAGGTGCTGGAGAGTTTCCAGGTGCCGGGCCATAAGCCCCAGGTGGTGGTGGTTACCGAGGCCTTCAAGCCGGATCTGTTCGCCCAGTTGACGTCCATGAACAAGCATCCGGCCTTGATTTTCGGCGACAACCTGGAGGCAGCCCTCTACGGCGGAGCCAACTTCAAGATAACCCTCACCTCGAGGATGAATAAGATCGTCGACCTGTTCCGGCTGGTGCGCCAGCGCGATCCGAGCACTTACCGCACCGTCATCTTCTGCGACGATGACTCTGAGATTAGGGAAGTGGTGGACATGCTGGAGGATTTCTTCTACGATTACCTTCCTTACTACCAGAATGCGACCCTGGACGATCTGAAGAGTATTCATCGCTGGAAGCAGCAAACCCGCAACGAAATACTCCTCTGCACCGACCAGTGTCCCGAGCTAAACATCCGCAATGCCCATACCCTGATCCACTACGGAATGAGCCGCACCTGGAGCAAGTTCAAGCTGCGCCACCTCTTTCTGGCGGACAATTTCAAGAACGGACTGCTACCGGAGGACGGAGAAACCGATTGCCTGACGCTGCTTTCCTATGCCATTCTCGACGCCAACAACCAGAAGCAGCTGCCCCGACTGGTGGACTTCCTCCAGCACCATCAGACGGTGGATGACTCCATAGTGAAGCTCTCCAAGAAGATCCGCATCGAAATGGAGAGCATCAAAGGCGTGTTGTGCCAGCATCTGTTGATCTGGGGCGACTGCAGGAATCGCGATTGCGAGGGTCGTCATCGCTTGAAGGAATCGGACATGCGTCCGCCTCATCTGCCCGCCAGCGGCCAGATTAAAGTCATCTTGATCAAGGTCTACTCACCGACGCACTTTTGTGTCCGCATCACGGATCACAAGCAGCCTGACGGGCACTGGGAAGAGAAGATGTCGCCGGCACTGTTCGACATGCGTGTCCAGCTGGTACCGGCCAGTGAAACCCCTCGTTGGTGGCCACCAGTTGCCGGAGATCTCTGCCTATACCGCGCCAAAAACTCGCAGGAACGCGTCCGCATCCTGAAGGTGGCGCCCATCCAGTACCCCAATCTTGTGCAGAACGACTTGGTCGTGGAGGTGCAGGCCCTGGACCGCGATTCTCGCGTCTTCTCCACAACCAGCCAGCACCTGTACGCCTGTCCCGCGGCACTGAAGCGGGAGCCGCCCTGCTGCGTAGATGTGCGTCTGCTGGGCCTGGTCCCAACGCACGGAGCACTCGGCTGGTCAGAGGAGGAGAAGCACGAGACGGAGCAGTGGCTGCTCAAAGAAAAAAAGCACCTTCTGATGGCCAACATTGTGATGAGCACCTCCCACGCCATTTACGTCAATGACTTGGTGGTCATGGTCTACGCCAGCCACTTTAAGGTGAGTATGAGTCGGAGGAGTGGCTATAACCCGTTGATCCTAACAGATGTCCTTTCTTCCAGATTTTCCTTCAGCACCTCAGCGTGCGTCAGACCCTGATCAAAGGCCGTATGGCCCGGGAGTGCGAGCGGGCCAAGCGTAGTGTCCTGGACTTCTTCAGCGTGGATAACTTCGATGACGAGTTCGCTGGCATGCCTGCACTGGTGCCTATACGACGCTTATACGCCCTTCCCCCATCCCCAGATAGTTCTAACTGTGAGGAGGTCGGAGATGGATCTAATGAAGAGCCTGCACCGGTTGGTGCCATTGATGTAAAGGCAGAAGAGGTCCTTCTGGAGCAGTCTGGAGAAACCGGAGAAGTCTTCGAGGATCAAACGGAGAAGCTCACTTCAGGATCTGATGAAAAGCCTGCACCGGTTGGTTCTATCTATGAGGAGACTGCAGATGGGCCTTTGTTTCCAGAAGACGAGCCTTGGTTTTCAGAAGGGGAGGTCTTTTATGATGCCTATCCGCCACTGGAGGACACTGATGAAGAGCCTGCACCGGTTGGTGCCATTGATGTAAAGGCAGAAGAGGTCCTTTTGGAGGAGTCTGGAGAAACCGGAGAAGTCTTCGAGGATCAAAAGGAGAAGTTCGTAAAGGCAGCAGAGGTCCTTCTGGCCAAAGACAAAGTCCAAGAGGAAACTTTATCCGATGCCGCAAAGGACTCCCTCGATGTGGGGATTGACGAGGAAGCGTGTGCTCCAAAGGCAACCCACGCGGCTGAAAAAGAGGACACTCGCGCCGATGAAGGAAAGAAGAAGGCCGAGGAGCCTGGGGCGGTAACAGTCTATGATCCACAGAACGTCTTCGTCCAGTTCTGCGAGTGTCTTAAAAAATGCTCCGAAATGAGAATGGAGGAAGTCGGTTTTCCTAAAAACCCCACCACCTTGAAGTTCGTGGCTGCGGATCTATTTTTGAAGATGAAGAGTGGCGGCGAAGACCTAGGGTCGGTTTATGGCCCGGTGGCGCGGGTGGAAAATGATATGGATGTCGACTATAAAGCGGAGTTCGCTCGTTTCACCACTACCCTGGATCCGAACGTTGTTCACCCCCAGGTGGTCTGGCACCAGACCCTCTTCTACGTGGAGTTCAGAGTAAGTTATTTGACTTCCATTAGCACCCTTCCGCTTCATGTCCATCTTGTCTATTCCACAGTTCAACATTCCCCTGGAGAATTTCAAGTATGAAGTGCATGTCATTAAGGATCAACTACTCTTCCAGGCCACCAGCTCGGACTCGCCGGTGGTCTATCAGGCGATACTCAAGCTGGGCTACAAGTTCACGGAGTACAGCTGGATGGCTAGCGGTCAGAATGTGCATGTCCGGATCGGGAAAGCTATTGGGGCGATGTACCCATTCAACTTCTCCGCTTACCCTTGCGTCCGCATCAACCACGAGAAGACCGCCAAGCAGGAGGAGATGATGCAGGAGCGTCGTAATGACCTCCACCGCTATCTGGAATCTGTGACGAAAAAAAAAACCGCCGAGGAGGAATTCGCCGAAGGGGAGGTCGCCCATGAGGATTCCGAGACCGAAGGAGTCGAGGGGCCCAGTGTCGATGACCAATTCTCAGACTGAGCATGCCTTTCAGGCCTTTAAGATCTCCCAAGGACGATCATTAGCTTATAGATTACTTGACTATTACGTAATACGTAACTTAACCTTAAACCAGAAACCCGCTTGCGATTCCGAAAACATCACAAAACAAAGCCTTGATCCTTAATTGTATCCCGAAACTGGAATTCCTGGAATTCTACAATTCTACAATCTGGAAGGAACAACAATCTGCAGGAATTGTATTTGAAACTGAAACTATATTGGATTGGAAACTGACAGCGATACCTCCTTTCCAGGTTTCGGCAATAAACTGGGTTGTCTGGTACTTTCTGGTCTTTCATTCGGGGCTTTGAATAAAAAAAATCCATAGAATCCATATATTAGAATTCATATCCATATATCCATACATCTTTCAAGGTATTCCGATTTTAAATCGGCTGAAAATCGGCAAAGATATAGGCATTGGTAGTGGGATATATGAAAATTCAGCAATTCCTAGGGGTACGGTATGCCCCACAAAATTTTGAAAAATTTTAAAAACAGTTTTTAAGATAGATTTTAATGCAGATTTTTAGAGAATAGATCAACAAATTATTAAAGGTACTCCGCTTGAGAATCGGATGAGAATTGAGGAAGATATAGCCATCACAGTGGGCCCTATAGGGGAAAACCCCATTTTCTAGGAGTCCCATCAGGAAAAATGGACAAAAAATCTGAAAAATATTTTGTTGCTAGATTTTGATGCAGAATGATGGAGAATCGATATAGAAATCGGTTAAGGTATTCCGCTTGAGAATCGAATGAGAATTGAGGAAGATATAGCCATCCCTGTGGGCCCTATAGGGTAAAACCCCATTTTCAAGGGGTCCCAACAGGAAAAATGGACAAAAAATCTAAAAAATATTTTGTCTCGGGATTTTGATGCAGAATGATGGAGAATCGATCCAGAAATCGTTTGAGGTACTCCGCTTGAGAATCGGATGAGAATTGGCGAAGATATAGCCATCCCTGTGGGCCCTATAGGGGAAAACCCCATTTTCAAGGGGTCCCAACAGGAAAAATGGACAAAAAATCTAAAAAATATTTTGTCTCAGGATTTTGATGCAGAATGATGGAGAATCGATCCACAAATCGATTAAGGTACTCCGCTTGAGAATCGGATGAGAATTGTGGAAGATATACCCATCACAGTGGGCCCTATAGGGTAAAACCCCATTTTCAAGGGGTCCCATCAGGAAAAATGGACAAAAAATCTGAAAAATATTTTGTTGCTAGATTTTGATGCAGAATGATGGAGAATCGATATAGAAATCGGTTAAGGTATTCCGCTTGAGAATCGAATGAGAATTGAGGAAGATATAGCCATCCCTGTGGGCCCTATAGGGTAAAACCCCATTTTCAAGGGGTCCCAACAGGAAAAATGGACAAAAAATCTAAAAAATATTTTGTCTCGGGATTTTGATGCAGAATGATGGAGAATCGATCCAGAAATCGTTTGAGGTACTCCGCTTGAGAATCGGATGAGAATTGGCGAAGATATAGCCATCCCTGTGGGCCCTATAGGGGAAAACCCCATTTTCAAGGGGTCCCAACAGGAAAAATGGACAAAAAATCTAAAAAATATTTTGTCTCGGGATTTTGATGCAGAATGATGGAGAATCGATATAGAAATCGTTTAAGGTACTCTGCTTGAGGATCGGATCCGAATTGGCGAAGATATAGCCATCCCTGTGGGCCCTATAGGGGAAAACCCCATTTTCAAGGGGTCTCAACAGGAAAAATGGACAAAAAATCTAAAAAATATTTTGTCTTAGGATTTTGATGCAGAATGATGGAGAATCGATCCAGAAATCGTTTAAGGTAATCCGCTCGAGAATCGGATGAGAATTGTGGAAGATATACCCATCACAGTGGGCCCTATAGGGTAAGACCCCATTTTCAAGGGGTCCCATCAGGAAAAATGGACAAAAAATCTAAAAAACATTTTGTCTCGGGATTTTGATGCAGAATGATGGAGAATCGATCCACAAATCATTTAAGGTACTCTGCTTGAGGATCGGATCCGAATTGGCGAAGATATAGCCATCCCTGTGGGCCCTATAGGGGAAAACCCCATTTTCAAGGGGTCTCAACAGGAAAAATGGACAAAAAATCTAAAAAATATTTTGTCTCAGGATTTTGATGCAGAATTATGGAGAATCGATCCAGAAAAACCCCATTTTCTAGGGGTCCCAACAGGAAAAATGGACAAAAAATCTAAATAATATTTTGTCTCAGGATTTTGATGCAGAATGATGGAGAATCGATCCAGAAATCGTTTAAGGTACTCCGCTTAAGAATCGGATGAGAATTGGCCAAGATATAGCCACCACAGTGGGCCCTATAGAGGAAAACCCCATTTTCAAGGGGTCCCATCAGGAAAAATGGACAAAAAATCTAAAAAATATTTTGTCTCAGGATTTTGATGCAGAATGATGGAGAATCGATATAGAAATCGTTTAAGGTAATCCGCTCGAGAATCGGATAAGAATTGGCCAAGATATAGCCATCCCTGTGGGCCCTATAGGGAAAAACCCCATTTTCAAGGGGTCTCATCTCGTAGGTTTGAGAATAAAATATCTAAAATATCCAAATATTTCGTGATATATTTCGTCCCAATGGGCCGCCAAAGGACCCGATCTCTGCCACAGGATCACTACCCCACCCAAGGACATAACCCCATAATCCCAAAAGAGTAAAAATCACAGGCGGGTACTTTTTTTTGGGAGTTTATTTAATATTTTCTACGTTTTTTTTTTGTGTTTTTAAGTTTTGGTCATAAATGTGTATATTTATATATATATAAAGATATACGCCAGGCGGTCGCGGATCATTCCCGGGGGCAGACTCCAATGAGTCGCCGATAACACGATACTTTTGGGGAACAAAAACCAAATCTTTTAAAAGTTTCGGTGCACGAAGAGCTACCTAAGTACATAGTGGGTGCATATGTACGTGCCCATGAGTGCCGGCTTACGGAAGTGCTTCCTGGTATGTATTGGAAACCGCACTTGTCAATGCTCCGTAAGGGCGGCAATCATAATGATCCGGCAACTGGTGGCCAGTTTTCAGAGTCGAACGCAATGGATAGTTGATACGAATTACATAAAAAAAATAGATCTTTATGTCTTAAGCTTAATGTCTAGGGTGCGGGCCTAGATCAAAGACCCCTCCTCCTCCTCCGTTCCGGGAGGCATTCAAGGTTGTGCCGCCTTGCAGTCCCTTCAATCGTCGCTCTCCTCGAACGTGGGACTGCTGGGCGAGTAGGCCGGACTCGTGGGACTGTAGTGCGAGGGCGCTGTCGGCGAGTACATCGGCGATGTAGGCGAATAATTGCGGGCCGTGGGCGTGTACGTTGGCGATGTGGGTGAGTACTTGGTGCTGCTTGGCGAATAGATGGACATGTTCGGCGAGTACCTAGGACTGGTCGCCGAGTACGTGGATCCAGTGGGACTGTACTGGTTCGACGGCGAATGCTGCGGCGAGCTGGGTGAGTAGAGTGGCGATGTCGGCGAGTACTTGGGCGAGGCCGGTGAGTACTGCGGCGATCCAGGTGTGTATTGCGGCGACCCCGGTGACCCGTCATACGACGGCGACGGCGGCGAGTACGTCGGCGATGTCGGTGAGTACTTGACGCCGGTCTGGGAGTAGGCCGGCGATGCCGGCGAGTAGTGCGGGGAGGCCGAGTAGTTGGGGCTGGTCGGGGAGTAGGATGGTGTCACGGGTGTGTAGTTGGGGCTGGTCGGTGAGTACGAGGGCGACGTGGGCGAGTAGCAGGGCGATGTCGGGGAGTAGGACGGACTCGAGGGCGAGTACGAAGGCGATGTCGGCGAATAGGAGGGCGAGTTGGGTGAGTAGTTCGAGGAACTGGGCGAGTACGCGTTTCCGGGCGAGTACATGTTACTGCCGCTTCCCGCAAACGACGGACTCGACTGGTAGTTGGACGTGGGCGAGTACCCCGGCGACGTGGGCGAGTAGCCCGAGGACGACGGCGAATAGCCGGTCGACTGCGGATTGAAGTTGGGCGTGGTGGAGGCGTAGCGCGGACTGGTCGTGGCGTACAGCGGCGATGTCGGCGAGTAGTTCGGACTCGAGGGCGAATAGTTGGGTGATGCTCCGCCCGGCGACGAGGCCGTGTAGTTCGGGCTGGTCGGCGAGTACGAGGGCGACACACTGGGCGAGGCCGGGAAGTACGGCGACATCGAAGGTCCCGGCGAGCTGGGCGAGGAGCCCGGATGCGCTGGCGACCAGCTGGGCGACATTCCCGACGCATCTGAGGCCGCCGAGGGCGAGAAACTGGGTCCGCCCGGAGTCATGGCGCTCACTGAAAGAGACAACAATACGTTAGTGCTTCACAGAACAGAAAGAGACAGCAGGCGAAGGACTCACCATGGCCCGGAGGCGAGAAGTAGCGCGGCGTGTTGCAGTTGACCCACGGCGTCATCGGAGGCGTCATGCTCGGTGTGGATCCACCGCCAATGAACATGGCGGCGCCACCCAGCATGCTGCTGCCCAGCGTGTTGGGAATTTCGATGCCGAAGCGGCACTTCTCGGCGTCCAGCAGCAAATCGAAGCAGCCGGTACCCATCTTGGGCAGCTGGCCCATAATAATGTTCTCGGAGACGCCGCGCATGGGATCCGTTTCGGCGTGAGCGGCGGCATCCATCAGCACGTCCACCGTTTCCTCGAAGGAGCAACGCATAAGGGCGCCCGTGTCCTGCCTGTTGATGCCGTGACGGGTGATGGCCATCAAGTGGCCCTTGGCCGTCATCACGTCGCACAGCAGGGCCAGGTGGCGATAGTTGACGTACAGGCCGTAGAACTGCAGCACGGCGTTCATCTCCTTCTCGACGGACTTCCGCACCGCCTCGATGCCCAGCACCTGGAATATCTCGCAGATGTCGTTCGACGAGGTGCGAATGGGATCGACGTCCCGCTCGGAGAGCACCTTCATCATGGACGTGCCGTCCGTCTCGAGCAGCCACTCGCCGATGGCCTTGAACTCGCCCGTTTCGGTGATCACGATGCGCTTCTTGCTGTCCGTTTGGGGCAGATGCATGTACACCTTGCCGATGGCCTCGATGCCCTGCAGCGTCATGTCCGAGAGCATGTTGGCCTCGATGCAGCGCAGGAACATGTCGTCCTCCATCTTGTCAACGGCCTCGTCCTCGTCCTGGAACTTGTTCTCCTCGTTGTTCATGATGCGGATGCGCAGCACCAGCTTGTCGGCGTTGTCGTCGTTGAAGATGCAGTTCAGATCCTCGCCAAAGCCGACGTTGATCTTCTCGGCAATCTGCTCCATGGTCAGCTTCTTGTCCGTCATGCGCTTGCGGTCCAGCTCGATGCGGAGCAGCCAGGGCGAGATGCGCTGCGGATCAAAGTCGGGCATCTCGTAGTAGACGTTCACGAACTCCTGATCCTCCGAGATGACGGTGCGCTGCGGATCCGGATCATAGTAGATGGCCGTGTTGGCTGTCACCTTACGCAGCGTGGTATGCTCCAGCCGGCACAGCACATTCTTGGCCTTCTCGGCATCGCGGGCAGCACCTCCCGTGAGGAAGACCGTCAGAGACGGAGCCTTGGGCTTCTTGGAGATGTTGATGATCTCCTTGAGACGCGGCACACCCAGGGTCACGTTCTTCGACGACACACCGGCGAAATGGAAGGTGTTCAGTGTCATCTGGGTGGCGGGCTCGCCCAAACTCTGGGCAGCCAAGGCGCCCACCATCTCGCCCGGATTGGCCTGGGCCTGCTGGAAGCGCGTCTCGATTTCTCCGATCAACCACTCAAAGGCCTCTGTGGACAGGCGGAACTCCTCCGAGACGTACTTGGTGCAGAGCGTCGACCGGATCAGGCACTGGAACAGCAGCGTGGCGTTCTCGTTGGCCTGCTTCGAGATCCTATCGTTTCCGGTCACAATCACGCACCGTTCCAGCAGCCCCTTGACGCCCTTGATGACGCGCATCGGCGACAGGTCCGTGGGCAGTCGCTTGTTGATGTGGAAAATCTTCTGCACGTTCCAGATCATGCGCTGAAGGTTACAGGGAAGTACCACCTAGAGGACGAAAAAGAGGAAACGGTCAGTTGGATACTAAGGGCTGGGATAGAAAGGACTTCCTGCACCCACCTTGGAGTCGCCGTTGGGGAAGATCTGCCGCAAGCTGTCGCGATCCGTGACGAGGCGATCCCACTCGGACTCAAGCTCCTGGATGGCATCGCTGCTGTCGGTCATCTCCTTGATGATGTCGTCGGTGAACACCTTGCGCATGTAGCGCTCGTTGCTCCAGTCGAACTTGAAGCGCTTCTCGAAGGACTTGTTGGACAGCTTCACCGTGGGCATGTTCTGGAACTCGACCAGCTCGCCGCAGAGGCCGTCCTCGCCGTAACGCAGCTGGATGAGCTGACCGACCGAGTTACGCACTGTACCGTCATAGTTGACCATTACCGACTCCATAGCCTTTATCAGACGACGCTGGATGTAACCGGTTTCGGCCGTCTTGACAGCAGTATCGATGAGACCCTCACGACCACCCATGGCGTGGAAATAGAACTCGGAGGGCGTCAGCCCGGCCAGGTACGAGTTCTCCACGAAGCCTCGCGACTCGGGACCGTAATCGTCCTTGATGAAGTGGGGCAGGGTGCGCTTGCGGAACCCATACGGGATACGCTTACCCTCCACGTTCTGCTGGCCCACACAAGCAATAACCTGAAAGTCAATGGAACGTTAGACCATCATCTCCAGAAGAGATCTCTAGGATCATTGTTACCTGAGAGATGTTAATGTTGGATCCCTTGGAACCGGACACCACCATGGCCTTTAGATTGTTGTACTCGGTGAGGGACTTCTTGGCGGAGCCACCAGTCTTGTCACGAGCATCGTTCAGAATACGGTTCACCTTGTTCTCGAAGGTCTGACGCAGCGTGTTGCCGGGCGTGGGCTCCAGCTCCATGTTGTGGGCCTTCTGGATGACGTTTATCACGTCGTCCTTGGCCTTCTTGATGGCGCACTGGATCTCGTTGTAGGTCTGCGGATCGGCAATGGTGTCGCCAATACCGATGCTGTGCCCCTCGAGCAGCAGCCAGTTGTTGATCACCGTCTGGATGTTGCCGTAGAACCGACCGGCAATGTCGTGTCCCAGCTCCAGGAAACAAATATGCAGCAGGGAGCCGGCCGAGGTACCCAGCGTCTTCTTGCAGAGAATGCCCATGATGAGTTCGCCGTGCTCCACCATTACCTTGGTGTCGCCGGGCGAGATCCACTTGTAGGGGCCGTCATCCTCCTCGTCGGGATGGGTCGAATGGGTGCGGATCATGTTCACGTTACCGGGAATGATCAGGGAGAAGATCTGCTTGCCGGTCCACAGGGGGCGCGGCTTGAGGATGCACGGTTGGGGCATCTTGCCGTCCCAGGTGGGCAAGAACATGAGCAGGTTCATCATCTGTTCCCTCGTGATGAAGACGTCGCGCTTCGTCATTTTACGGACGGCTGTGAGGGTGTCCTGCACAATACCCATGACGGGCTTGTTGGCCTGCGGCGTGATGATCTGCCGGGGCGTGATGTGGATGTTCTCCACCTCGGCGCGCGTCTCCATGGACTGCGGCACGTGCAGGTTCATCTCGTCGCCGTCGAAATCGGCGTTGTAGGGCGAGGTACAGGACAGGTTCATTCGGAAGGTGGACCACGGCAGCACCTTCACCCTGTGCCCCATCATACTCATCTTGTGCAGCGTGGGCTGGCGGTTGAAGATGACCAGATCGTCGTCGCGCAAGTGCCGCTCCACCTTGTAGCCGCACTGCAGATGCAGGTCCGAGGACTTGGGATGGAACCGCAGATCGATACGCTCGCCGTTGTCCCGCACAATGTACTTGGCGCCCGGATACTGGCTGTTGCCGCGACGCACCAGCTCCTGCATCCGATCGATGTTGAAGGGCGTCACCAGCTCGGGGAAGGTCAGATTCTGGGCGATGGAGCGCGGCACACCGACCTGGTCGATACGCAGATTGGGATCGGGTGTGATGACCGTACGGGCAGAGAAGTCCACACGCTTGCCCATCAAGTTGCCACGAATTCGACCCTCCTTGCCCTTCAAACGGGCCTTGATGGCCTTCAGCGGCTTGCCAGACTTCTGCATGGCCCGCGGCATGCCGGGCATGTCGTTGTCCACCAGCGTGGCCACGTGGAACTGCAGCATCTTGATGTTCTCTTGGATGACGTGGGCCGCCGCGCCGCTGGCCTCGTTCTTGCGCAGCTCATTGTTCGCCTTGATGATGTCCGAGAGCTTGTGCGTCAAATCGTCCTGATTCTTGGCGGCGCCGAACATCACGACAGCGGGACGCACTGCCAGCGGCGGCACCGGCAGCACTGTGACAATCATCCAATCGGGACGGGCGTACTTGGGGTCCATGCCCAGAATGAAGCACTCCTCGTCGGTGATGTGCTTCAGGATTTCCCACACCCGCTCCGCCGACACCACGATCTTCTTCTCCTGCGAATCCTCGTTGGCATGCTTCCACTCGGCAGTGAGATCCAGACCAGTTCGGCGAATGGAGGGCTGGTAGTGACCGCAACCACCGTGGCCGGGCTTCTTGTTGGGATCCGTCTGCTGGTTCTCCTTGGCGAGGTCCATGTCCTCGCCGCCCTCGCAAATGGTCTTGCCCTTGCACAGGTCGTAGACGTAGGCGAGGCGCTTGCGCGGCTGGCCCTTCGACTTCATCACGATCTCCTTGATCTTGGGATTGTGCGGCGAGACCAACATCTTGGAGCAGTAGAAGCACACGCAGCGCAGGATCTTGATGGTCTTTGTGATGAATCCGATGTGAAACACTGGCTTGGCCAGATCGATGTGTCCAAAGTGACCGGGGCATTCGGTCATGTTGCCAGCGCACGTCTGGCAGCGGGAGGTTCGATCGATGACACCCTGCCGGGGATCCATGAGGCCGCCCAGCTTGGGCCGACCGCCCTCCATCGTCTCGGCGAACTGGACGCCACCCTCGGTGACGGACATGCGGCGCTGCAAATAGGATTACAGGACATGAGCTAAGAATCTGGAATCTTTGTGCCCAGGACCCCGACCTAGACCAAGTCCTAGTCCCTTCCTAACCTTCAAACGGATAGGAGAGGAGACGCCCCAAACAAACACACCCATTTAACCAGAAAATTTAATGGAAATTTTTTAACATAAACATTGCATTATTCGATTTCGATGCCAGGAAATCATTTTCAATATGGCGTCGTGGGTTTCTGCGAACCGCGAACTGCACTTACGATTTCATCAGGTGACAAAATGCCGAACTGTACGCGCTTCACCTGGCGCAGGGGCGCCTTCGAGTCCCCGGTGGTGCTCATGGCGACAATGGAGTACTGCTACTGGTGGTGGCCACACAACTGGTGGGTTGCCTGCTCCAGCTGGTACTGTTGCTGCCTCGTCACGCTTTTCACCTTTTCACTTGGCTCGGGGCACGCGTGCAGCTCGGCTGGCAAAAATCGAATCAAGGGAGCCTTTCACAGTTCGAGGGATAACAACAACAAGTGCAATGTAAACAATAAACGACCCTGCATTTGGGGCTTGCAACTATAACGGCGGCTGGTGGACACTGGCCACGAATTTCGCGATTTTCTTAGCTTGAAGACCGCGACAACGCCGACCCAAAAACAGAGTTGTACTTTTATTTATTTACATCGATATATCGAGTTATCGATAACAGTTTGAGTTTTACATGTTTTACAACACTTATTTTTCAACCCTGTTTCCAGTGCTGCCAACTTTACACCCGGTCAAAAAACGGTCAAGCAATCAGCTGTTCCGGTCCGATTTTTCCGTAATTCCGTGGGAATTACGCCAATAATCCGGAGTCGGAGTCGCAAAAGCCGAAGGATCGCAGTGGTGCTACAATGAGCGACGCTGGCTCCAGCGTGGATCCGGTGGAAGCCGAGAAGCGGCGCAAGTTTCGCATTCAGGGTGAGTATTGGATGCAATCCAACCTAATGCACTACTAAAGGTTCCATATCCCCCGCAGCCGCTGCCTTTCTTGGCCTCGTTGGCGGCGTGTCGGCCCTGTTTGGATTCTCGAAAACCCTGGCCACAGCGAAGAAGGCCGACAACAAGGTACTACAGCAGGCTGGCACACGGCAGGGTATTATTCTAATGGATGAAGGGACCACACTGGCAATGCGTGCCCTGGGCTGGGGAACTCTGTACGCCGTCCTTGGCACCGGCGCCTTTTGCTACGGATTCTGGAAACTGAGCGGAGCTAAAGATGTTCGTCCCACGTGAATAGTATTCCACGTTCATTTGTATTAATGTTATGCCTTTCAGTTCGAAGAGTTTCGTATGAAAATGGGCAATGCACTGCCGCGCATCACCAAGGACGAGCCACCCACGAGCCGAACCGACTTTGAGAGCCTTACGGACCTCATGAAGTACTTGGCGGCCTGGAATAAGGAATAAAAGCAGCTCAATCTACATTAGATCGTATACCTTGCTAGACTATTAAATATATACATCACTTGTTAACTTGACTAAAAACTGCGCTGCTATTCTGGTAGTAACATTTATTATCTAATTATTCTTTGATGTCCTGGCCAGGTTCTGGTGGATGGCCTTACTGGCCAGATCGTCCAAAGCGCACTGGCTCAATTCCGAGATAGATGCCTGTAACTCCAGGGCCTCGGACATCTCTCTTAGATATCGGTTTGCATTCTTCATGAACTCCACAGATCCACGTATAAAGTTCTCGGTGTTAGGACCCTCCTTGAGATAGCGCTGATGCTCCTCGCTGGGCTCCAGCCTAGGATCTTCGGGTGGCAGATGCTTCAAATTATCTGCCGCCTGTAGCACAAAGTTGATAAAGTTTTGCTGCTTCTGCAGCTCCCGCTTCTTGTAGTTCTCAACCTCGTCCACTTTTGAGCCTACCTCACTAACTGCAAAACAATAAACGTCAAGGACTTGATAATTAGATCGAAGAGGTCGTCTTATCCTTACAGTTAACCACATTGTTGTTAAAGAGACTCCTCCTTCGGGAGTCCTGAGTAACTCCCTTAAGAGTTCTTTCCAGTTGTTCCGTCACATCGTTGAAGTCGACTGCAGAAGTGTCGGCCCAGGATTTGTTAGCATTGCTGACATTGGCTCTTTCGGGATCCGAGTTGCTTATATTATTTGTTTTATCCTGCGCGTCCATTTTTTCAAATTCCATCACAACATACCGATTTCAGTGTTGCAAAATGTCACCATAATGGGGCTGTTCAGTACTATTTACAGAGATGCCACTTAATTTTTTGTTCTAAAAATCCGATTTTCAAAAAATAAATTAAAATGAAAATCAAGCTATCCTTGAGATTTTTAAATACATAAAACAAGCAGAGAAACATTCATTACAAAGCAAATTATTGTTCAGACTAGACCGAAATAAAAATCCATAATTGTTGTTGCATTCAAAATTTGTAAATCTGTCCCAAAATTGAAACAATGTTCTATTCGACCGCGGTGCGACTATTGTCTATGGTGGTGGGCTGTCTTTACCCGGCATTCGCCTCCTTCAAGGTCCTTGACTCGCAGCGGCTCAATGAGGAGGATCTTCGCATCTGGTTGTCCTACTGGATTGTCTACGGAGTCTTCCTAGTTTTTGACTTTCTAACCTCCGGCCTGGCCCCGTTTGTGCCCTTACTGAACGAGATGAAGCTGGTGTACCTCTTGTGGCTGCTGCCATCCCTTGGCGGTGGCAACCAAATCATCTATGAGGAGTTCCTGCGCTCCTTCTTCAGCAGCAACGAGACCTGCATCGACCGGGCCCTAAGCCACGCCACCCTAACAGGCAGTGATTTCCTAAGCCAGATTGTGGGCTCTTGTCTAGGCCAATTCATGTCGTTTGCCGACAGCTGCTTCCTAACACGTGGCCATCGTTCTGCCCTCCAAATCACTCCCAGCATCGAGGACATTGTGGCCAAAGTGATTGCCCAGCGACGGCTCAAAAAGAAGCGTCTGGTAGAATCCGGGAAAAAAACCAACTCTTTGGAGGAGGAAGGTCAAAAAAATTCCGAGGATATAGACAGCAATCTTGAAACAAACGATGTTGATCTGGTGAACGACTCCGATTCGGAGCTGTTGCTTTACCCCGAACGCCATAGCCTTGTCCGACGGAAGGAGAAGCCCCAAACCCCGCCGAAGCCCAAACGAAGCCAGTCGCCTGACATCGAGAATCCAGGTCTCATGCAAGATTACGATCAGTGTATGGAGTCAATCAGAAACACTTAAATGTCCGGGATGTGCTTCGTGCGACTATTTTTCCGGCGGAATGTAGATCCATATGGTCTCAGATTGATCTTTTGAAGCTTGTATCTAAATTTGTTGTGCCAATAGAAGTCTTTCGTCAAGCGTAGCTCTCATAATATTTCAATAAAAAAAATTCCAGTTCCTTTCTAAAAGTAATTTTATTTTTAACCAATGATATTAACATAATTTAACATTAAGGGATAACTTAATTAAGGGTAAACTTGTTAAACTACTTAAGGTACTTAAATTAACTTCATTTTAGGGGACTTCCCCGCCCAACCAAAACTTTAGATCAATTTTTTCTCATTAGGTGGCAGCTCGTTCTTGCCGACAGTCCGGCAACGCCCCTGGCAACAACTCAGCAACGACTCAAAAACAGCTGCGGCAGCTTGCATTTATCCAATTGCAATTGTGTCTCCATTTTATGATGATATGCCGACTCTGTCTGGAGGATGCTGAGCACGGGGTGCCCATATTTGGTGAACAGGAGTCGGTGGTGGTGCAGCCGGCACTACGGCAGCTGGCTGAGCTGATAGAGCGGCACCTGCAGTTGGTGGTAAGTTCTTCAAGGGGGGGGCGGAGGATGCTCCACGGAAAGCCCAGCTTTTTTAAACTACTCCCATTTCTCCGTAGTTGGCAGCCAACGATGCTGTGTCCACGTGCCTGTGCAATAGCTGCTGGCAGCAGCTGGCGGACTTCGAGCGCTTTTGCACGATGGTGGCCGACAAGCAGCGCTCCCTGGAGCTGAAGACAGAACTGCCGGAGCTACCCGATATGCCAGAGCCAGCATTGGTCGTATGGAACACAGAGTCGCCCATCGAGCCGAAGGTGAGCTTCGAGGGCGACGACATCAAGGATCACATACTGTGCGAGCCGGTGATTGATGCCATGGCCGATGGCAGTGACTGCGGCGACGACACCTTTGATCCAGAGTTTCAACCAGACAGCGATCCGGAACCAGAGCCTGTTCCGGATCCGGTGAAGCCACGGCCGCGCGGTAGGCCCCGGAAAACACCACTACAGCAGACCCAGCAAATCATAAAACGAAAATATGAAAAACGTAAGCAGCAGCAGCAAGCCAAGAGCAACATTTCAGAGCTGTCACTGCGAGAATCTCGAGCTAGAATGCGGGAACTAAAGCGCACCAGCGGAGGCGATTCGCCAGACGAAAAGGAGGAGCAGGAGCATGAGGACGATGGTGATTCGTCGGAGGTGGAGGAAAAGGCCATGCCCAGCGCTAAGCGTGGACGTCCCAAGTCCGCAACGAAAAAGAAGCGAACAAACGGCGGCGACGAGGATGGCGAGGAGGCGCCCGTTAAACGCAGCAGCATCAAGGAGATGGACGACTACATAGCTGCAAACGTAAAGCTTGATTGCGCCCTGTGCGCCGCTCCGCTGGAGGACTTCAACGATCTCAAGCGCCACTTTCGCGTGGAGCACGACTGCACCGGCTATGTTAAGTGCTGCAATAATCGGTACAAGAAGCGTACTCTCTACGTGGACCACTTGCACTGCCACAAAGATCCGCAATACTTCAGCTGTCAGAGCTGCCGCAAGAACTTCCTCAATCGTAACAGCCAAGTGATGCACATGCTGCGCTTCCACTCCCAGCAGCAGGAGTTGGTCCATCAGTGCGCCATCTGTGAGGCGCGCTTCGCCAAGAAATTCCTGCTGACCATGCATCTCAAGGGCCACAAGGGCACCGAACGGCCCGAGGTGTGCGACACCTGCGGCAAGACGTGAGTCGCAAATCCCCAAAGCCCCTGATTCCGTATAGTATTATTGTATCGGTTTGTAATGTTATAAACCTTTTATTTCAAACATAACCCACTCCTTCTATTTATAAGCCATTCTTTAAGTTCCAAAATAATAATACCTCTCTTCCTTGCAGATTCCGCACCAAATTCGAGCTGAGTGCTCATGTTAAGCGCATGCATGCTGCAGACTTCACGCCCATCATCTGCGACATTTGCGGCACACATTTCCGTTCGAAGGCCAACTTCCTCATCCACAAGAAGGCCCTGCATCCGGACGGGCCAGTGGCGGAGGTGCAGTGTACCCTGTGCGGCCGCTGGCTGCGGGACGAGCGGAGCCTGCGCAAGCATCTGGCTCGCCACGATGATCGCGACGGCGACACTAAGTACAGATGCCTCCTCTGCAATGCAGAGAAGTCATCCCGTGCCGCACTCAGCAGCCACATGCGGTACCACCACTCCGCCAAGCGGCACAAGTGCACCCTGTGCGACAAGGAGTTTAAGCTGCCCCGGGCCTTATCCGTAAGTATCCCTCCCTCCCTAATCCTGGCTTTCAGTTAACCCTTCTCTATATTTTCCCCAGGAGCACATGGCCACCCACACTGGCATCGATTTGTACCAGTGCCAGTTCTGCACGCGCACCTTCAAGTCCCACGCCAACATGCACAACCACAAGAAGAAGATGCACCCGAACGAGTGGGTTCGCAAGTACACACAGCCGAGCAGCAGTATTGCAGCCATTGCTGCATCCGCTCAAGTCCAGCAAATGATTCCACAGGCAGTTGGGTTAGGTGGGGTGGGGGTACAGGGAGTAGGATCAGGATCAGGATCAGGTCCAGGTCCGATCTTAACAGCCCCGGGAACAGTCCCAGCCCCGGTAACCGGTAATATGCTGCCCAGTATGGTCGCCCCGCAACTGAACGTGGTGGTGCCCAAGTCCCTCATTGAAATACCCGATCCGGAGGCCTTTGAATTTGCCAGCAATAGTTCCGTATGTCCCACGCCCGACTGAATACATCCACGACCGTCATGATTTATGTGTAAAGCCGTACAAATAAACAACAGTAATTATTGTAAACTTTAATTGCTTACTTTTAAAATATTATTTATACAAAAAAAAGGAAAAATGCTTACAGGCAGATCGAGTTGGTGGTTACCTACGTCTAATAGTTTACATTGGATCGGTTGGTGGTAAATAATGATAGCTTGGTTTATTACTCATTGCGGATATAATGATGGGCCGATGTCACGGGGAATAAATATTTCTAGCTTTAAAAAAAAAAAACCTTCGGCTCCATTCGACCGATAAACTTAATTAACTAATGAAAATTTTAGATTCCTGTGGGATACATGCTGGAGAATGTCCGGACTTTCTAGGGCTCCTCCGCATCCTCGATTTCGCTCTCGTTCTCGGTGAGTATGGTGCGGATTTTCATGAGGAGTTCTTTCTTGACGGCATCTGGGACGAGGGTGCGCGCCTTGGGCGTCACCTCAGTGATGAGCTGCTCAACAGTGAAGCTGTTGCCGGTGCCCTTCTCCAGCAGAATGGTCCTACAAAGCAGACGCACTTCGTCCCGCCAGCCGCACTCGGTTAGTCGATTGCAGAGGAGGTCCTTGATTTTGGAGCGGTCGCCGCTGAGCACTGTGTATTGGTCCACTGTGTTGGAAACGGTCATGCTGAGCTTGGTGAGCCAAAAATTCAAATTATAATATTGTTACTTCTTGTTTTCTGGATTAGCGGCTTCAGCTTCCTCTTCCTCGGACACTATGTCTGCCCTCCCTCTTCTTCTCGCTCATTTTTGTTGCTGTCAGTGCTGCCACATTTTTAGCGGGAAAGTTTAGCTTTTTATGGCTTGAGATATATAGAGATCCTTCGTTTTACCTGAGATATTTACTCAGATTCAACTAATGCCTTAAACAATTTTAATTTTTAAGAAAGAATAATAATTTTAAAGAATAATTCGAATAATTGTTATTCCCATTTTGGATCTCAATATCTGTGCCATCTCTGGGAGGTCAGATTCCGACCCGCAGTCCGGCAACCCTGGCACGACCTCTCACAAACTGAACTATTTGCCTGGGAAATTAATTTAATTAATTATTCGCCCTGCCTTAGCCATACGTATGAAAAATGATATGCCGCCTGTGTCTGGACGAGGCGGAGCACAGTGTGCCGATCTTCGACCAGGAAGATGCCGCCGACTTCGCTGGGGCCTCCACCAACTTGGCCGGGCTGATTGAAAAGCACCTGCAGATGGTGGTAAGTGTGGGATTCATGGAATTCCGCTGCACAGATGTTTACGATTAACCCGTTCCCCTCAGCTCCTGCCAAATGACGCGGTGTCCAAGTGCCTCTGCACCCAGTGCTGGCAGCAGTTGGCCGATTTCGAGCAGTTCTGCTCGATGGTGATGAAAAAACAGCTGGGCCTGCCGCAGCTGAAGCAGGAACCCTTTTCCGAGGACGACGACACTAAGGCGCAAATTCTGTGCGAGCCAGAGATCGATGTTAGTCCGGCAGGGCCGGACACTGAGGAGTTCAACGAGATCGACGTGGATGCCAGCAGCAGCCAGGCAAAGGGAAAAGTTCGCCTGCCATCGCCCATACGGCGCAGTATGCGTCCCCGGTCTGCTCCAAAGACCAGATCAGTTAAGAGCAAGGTCAAACCCAAGCGGCAGCCGGTGGAGGAGGATGAGGACGGAGACGAGGATGAGGAGCAAGAAACAGATCCAGCGGTGGATCCTGAAAGCCGCACCAGCAGCAGTCATGAAATGGACAGCTACATTGCGAGTCATGGGCGTTTGGAGTGCAACCTCTGCGGCAGTGACGACGGCCAGTTCCAGAACTTTGCCGAACTGAAGCGCCATTTCCGCAATCACCACCAGTCCCAGGGATATGTGGTGTGCTGCCAGCGGCGCTACAAGAAGCGGGCTCTCTACGTCGACCACCTGCGCATGCACAACGATCCGGACTACTTCAGGTGCAAGATATGCTCCAAGCAGCTGGTGAGCCGGATTAGTTACGATGTGCACATGCTGCGCTTCCACTCCAATGACGAAGCCTGTGTCTTTGCCTGCGACAAGTGCTCCAAAAGATTCTCCAAACAGTTTCTGCTCACCATTCACGCCCGGGTGCACCAGCAGGAGCGCAAGGAGCAGTGCAAACACTGCGACAGATCGTAAGTTTCATTTTCCAAGTCCTGATTTTCAATAAAACCAATCCTCTCCTTTGTTAGCTTCCGCACTGCCGTGGATCTGCGGTTACACATGCGTCGCACCCACGATCCCAGTTTTGTGCCCTTCATATGCGACTCGTGCGGCTCCAAGTTCAAGACGAAACAGAATCTATTGGTGCACAAGCGAACCGTGCATCGGGAGGGCTCCCAGCTGCCGGAGGTGCAGTGCCAACAGTGCCAGACATGGCTGAGCGACGAGAACAGCCTGCGCAAGCACATGTACATGCATCTGGACGCTGCATCGCTCCGGCAATGGAAGTGCGAGCAGTGCGGCCTCGTGAAGGACTCCAGGGCCAAGTTGGCTGCGCACATTCGTTACCACCATCCAAAGGAGTATCACAAGTGCTCCCACTGTGGCAAGGAGTTCAAGAGCAGTCGAGGCCTGGAAGAGCACACAGCCACTCATACGGGCCAGGATCTGTACGAGTGCGCCTTCTGTGAACGGACTTTCAAGAATTCGGGTAACATGCACAAGCATCGCCGCCAGATGCACGCTGCCCAGGTGGCTGCCCTGCAACAGCAGAAGAAAGTGCGCCCCAGCAAGCGGAAAGACAAGGGCGAGCTACTGCTTGGTGTCCTGGCATCTTCCGGCGGCAAGGACATGGACATGGACGTGGGGATGGGCATGCCAATGGGAATGGGAACTCTGGGAGGGAGTGGAGTAAACGACTGATTGAATTCCAAAAACTGAATAAATTGTTTGGGGGTCTTTTTTTAACGAGGAACTATTATTTTGGTCCTAAAATCAAATTCAAAAATGCAACGGCTTACCAGCGATGCGATAATGGCCTTAAATTAGCTAGAAGAGCTCATCTCTATTTTTTCAAACTATCCAGCACTATCTGTTATCGATGTTGCCAACATTAGAGATGAGAAAATATCGATAGGTTAAGAATATTTGTTTCTTTGAACGTATTCTGTTTTTTGATACTTTTTGGCTCATATCTTTGGTATTTCGAAACCGATTCCAAATCGGAGTACCATTTATGAATCTGCGTCGATCTGCATCCAAGGATTCTTAAAATCCCTGGAAAAAAAATTTGACCCAATTTTTGGCCAAAATCCTGATGATACCCCTTGGAAAATCGAGAATTCTGTTTCTCGCCGCTTTTTGGAAGATATCTTTAGTATTTCTTGTCCGATTCCAAAACGGATTACCATTTATGAATCAGGGATCTAATGCCCGTCGATCTGCATCCAAGGATTCTTAAAATCCCAGGAAAAAAATTTCGACCCAATTTTTGGCCAAAATCCTAATGATACCCCTTGGAAAATCCCGAATTCTGTTTCTTGTCACTTTTTGGAAGATATCTTTAGTAATTCTTGTCCGATTCCAAAACTGAGTACCATTTATGAATCAGGGATCTAATGCCCGTCGATCTGCATCCAAGGATTCTTAAAATCCCAGGAAAAAAATTTCGACCCAATTTTTGGCCAAAATCCTAATGATACCCCTTGGAAAATCCCGAATTCTGTTTTTTGTCACTTTTTGGAAGATATCTTTAGTAATTCTTGTCCGATTCCAAAACTGAGTACCATTTATGAATCAGGGATCTAATGCCCGTCGATCTGCATCCAAGGATTCTTAAAATCCCAGGAAAAAAATTTCGACCCAATTTTTGGCCAAAATCCTGATGATACCCCTTGGAAAATCCCGAATTCTGTTTTTTGTCACTTTTTGGAAGATATCTTTAGTAATTCTTGTCCGATTCCAAAACTGAGTACCATTTATGAATCAGGGATCTAATGCCCGTCGATCTGCATCCAAGGATTCTTAAAATCCCAGGAAAAAATTTCGACCCAATTTTTGGCCAAAATCCTGATGATACCCCTTGGAAAATCCCGAATTCTGTTTTTTGGCACTTTTTGGAAGATATCTTTAGTATTTATTTTCCGATTCCAAAACGGAGTACCATTTATGAATCAGGGATCTAATGCCCGTCGATCTGCATCCAAGGATTCTTAAAATCCCAGGAAAAAAATTTCGACCCAATTTTTGGCCAAAATCCTGATGATACCCCTTGGAAAATTCAGAATTCTGTTTTTTGTCACTTTTTGGAAGATATCTTTAGTAATTCTTGTCCGATTCCAAATCGGAGTACCATTTATGAATCAGGGATCTAATGCCCGTCGATCTGCATCCAAGGATTCTTAAAATCCCAGGAAAAAAATTTCGACCCAATTTTTGGCCAAAATCCTGATGATACCCCTTGGAAAATCCAGAATTCTGTTTTTTGTCACTTTTTGGAAGATATCTTTAGTAATTCTTGTCCGATTCCAAATCGGAGTACCATTTATGAATCAGGGATCTAATGCCCGTCGATCTGCATCCAAGGATTCTAAAAATCATCAAAAAAAAATGTTGACCCAATTTTTGGCCAAAATCCTGATGATACCCCTTGGAAAATCCAGAATTCTGTTTTTTGTCACTTTTTGGAAGATATCTTTAGTAATTCTTGTCCGATTCCAAAACGGAGTACCATTTATGAATCAGGGATCTAATGCCCGTCGATCTGCATCCAAGGATTCTTAAAATGCCAGGAAAAAAATTTCGACCCAATTTTTGGCCAAAATCCTGATGATACCCCTTGGAAAATCCCGAATTCTGTTTTTTGTCACTTTTTGGAAGATATCTTTAGTAATTCTTATCCGATTTCAAAACGGAGTACCATTTATGAATCAGGGATCTAATGCCCGTCGATCTGCATCCAAGGATTCTTAAAATCCCAGGAAAAAATTTCGACCCAATTTTTGGCCAAAATCCTGATGATACCCCTTGGAAAATCCAGAATTCTGTTTTTTGGCACTTTTTGGAAGATATCTTTAGTAATTCTTGTCCGATTCCAAATCGGAGTACCATTTATGAATCAGGGATCTAATGCCCGTCGATCTGCATCCAAGGATTCTTAAAATCCCAGGAAAAAAATTTCGACCCAATTTTTGGCCAAAATCCTGATGATACCCCTTGGAAAATCCAGAATTCTGTTTTTTGGCACTTTTTGGAAGATATCTTTAGTATTTCTTTTCCGATTCCAAAACGGAGTACCATTTATGAATCAGGGATCTAATGCCCGTCGATCTGCATCCAAGGATTCTTAAAATCCCAGGAAAAAAATTTCGACCCAATTTTTGGCCAAAATCCTGATGATACCCCTTGGAAAATCCAGAATTCTGTTTTTTGTCACTTTTTGGAAGATATCTTTAGTAATTCTTGTCCGATTCCAAATCGGAGTACCATTTATGAATCAGGGATCTAATGCCCGTCGATCTGCATCCAAGGATTCTTAAAATCCCAGGAAAAAATTTCGACCCAATTTTTGGCCAAAATCCTGATGATACCCCTTGGAAAATCCAGAATTCTGTTTTTTGGCACTTTTTGGAAGATATCTTTAGTATTTCTTTTCCGATTCCAAAACGGAGTACCATTTATGAATCAGGGATCTAATGCCCGTCGATCTGCATCCAAGGATTCTTAAAATCCCAGGAAAAAAATTTCGACCCAATTTTTGGCCAAAATCCTGATGATACCCCTTGGAAAATCCAGAATTCTGTTTTTTGGCACTTTTTGGAAGATATCTTTAGTAATTCTTGTCCGATTCCAAATCGGAGTACCATTTATGAATCAGGGATCTAATGCCCGTCGATCTGCATCCAAGGATTCTTAAAATCCCAGGAAAAAAATTTCGACCCAATTTTTGGCCAAAATCCTGATGATACCCCTTGGAAAATCCAGAATTCTGTTTTTTGGCACTTTTTGGAAGATATCTTTAGTAATTCTTGTCCGATTCCAAATCGGAGTACCATTTATGAATCAGGGATCTAATGCCCGTCGATCTGCATCCAAGGATTCTAAAAATCATCAAAAAAAAATGTTGACCCAATTTTTGGCCAAAATCCTGATGATACCCCTTGGAAAATCCAGAATTCTGTTTTTTGTCACTTTTTGGAAGATATCTTTAGTAATTCTTGTCCGATTTCAAAACGGAGTACCATTTATGAATCAGGGATCTAATGCCCGTCGATCTGCATCCAAGGATTCTTAAAATCCCAGGAAAAAAATTTCGACCCAATTTTTGGCCAAAATCCTGATGATACCCCTTGGAAAATCCCGAATTCTGTTTTTTGACACTTTTTGGAAGATATCTTTAGTATTTCCTCTCCGATTCCAAAACGGAGTACCATTTATGAATCAGGGATCTAATGCCCGTCGATCTGCATCCAAGGATTTTTAAAATCCCAGGAAAAAAATTTCGACCCAATTTTTGGCCAAAATCCTGATGATACCCCTTGGAAAATCGAGAATTCTGTTTTTCGCCACTTTTTGGAAGATATCTTTAGTATTTCTTGTCCGATTCCAAATCGGAGTACCATTTATGAATCAGGGATCTAATCTGAAGAAAGAGTATAAATTAAACGAAGCTACTATTGCTACTATTTCCATAAAAATCGAAATCCAAATTGTGGCGGTTCCCCAATGCTGCGATAATAGCTTTAAAACAGCTAGCCGTTTCTCTAGTTCTCATCTCTATTTTTATGTACTTTCAAGCACTATTTTTTGTGTTATCGATGTTTCGCGAATCGCCGATATTTTTAGAAGAACGACCACCTCTAGATCTTACGACTTTCCGCCAAAAGAGAGTAGACGTTAATAGTTAACTTCAGGAGAATAGGTACACAACCATCTTGGGTGAAACTTTTGGAAATTTTCAGTTTTTTCTTTGTAAAATTGGGAATTTATTTATATTTTGCCCAACAACCACACACAACACAGGTTATAAGTTTCTAGTATACACACACACTGGGTTACGCATCAATTGGCAGTTGAGAAAAGTATTTTTTCATTATTTTTCCTTATTTTTATTGTTCTCAACAATAATTTTAGACAAAAAAGAGTGTGAATTAGGGTCTTTAACAAGTTCTTGTACGGTGGTACAGTTGCTATTGGCATGGTAAGTAAAGAATGCCCACTTCTTTCGTTTGCATGCACATGGATGGGTGTGTATCCATGTGTGTGTGTGACAAACAAAATGGTGGCTTGACCTATTAATAATACCCTCTTTCTCGTTTTTCTTTCAGTCTCAAACCAGCGTCATGTGAGTGCATTCGACCTCCAGGGTTCCTAGGCTTCCAACTCCTAGGAGAAAAATTTTTAAAAATTTTATTTCATTTTTCCTGCGTGTGTGTGTGTGTTTTGGTGGCACCCATTAGGATTACTGGACACGTATGCTAATCTAAAACTTTCTTCTCATTCTAGGGTTTTATCAACGGCCGTTTGACTGGTAAGGTCGGAAAGAGTTGTATCTTTGAAGATAGGTTCGAACACTTAGCGCCAAAAAATGAGACTCGTTCGAACCGATCTTCAAAGAAAAATAATGTTTTGAGCGCTCACTGAAGTGAATTCGAAGCGAAATGGCTTTCATTCAATCGAAATGATAAATTTTATTCGTCTTACGAGATGTAAGAGAAATAAGATTGATTGAAAGTCGATCAAAAATGTTTTCTGGTATGACACGGATGTCGTGCCGTGAAAAAACAAACAAATAAACAAAGAAAACTTTAAAAAAACAAACAAGACGCAACGTTTTACAAGCCGCTATGAAAATACAAAGTCTTGAAAGGCATGCAAAATGTTGCAAAAAAAAATATACAAAATGTATATGAAATGGTAATGTTTTACGCGCCTTAACCAGCAACCAAAGAAAAAAACATTGATTTTTTTTCGTATGACGCATGCAACGTTATACGAAACACTCTCAATAACCATGAAAAAGAAAAGCGTTTTCAATTCGAGCGAGATAGATACATATTGGCGATCTCTTTCGCTTTCCCGAAGGATTCGATCAGAGAGAGACGGCTGTTGGCGAATTAGAGCGAGAGAGCAGTCATGATCGTAGCACTCATTGAAATAGCTTTTTAATGTAAATATCAATAAACCGTCTCCGATGAAAAACGAAATTTGTCTTTAAATCGTACTGGAGCTCTTATGACAGCCATTTTGTTGGCGCGAAATTGAATTTTCAAAAGGTGCTTTTTCTCAATCCTTGCCACACCGGCTAGTGTGGGGAATAAGGTGAGTTTCGTTTTCAGCTAGCGTTGCCACTTTTTAGTATTCTTAACATATTTTAAAGCTAGTCGAGCAAAAAGTGTTGGAAAACTCTTAAATAAACAGTGTTTCAAAGCATGAAGAAATAGTGGCAAAAAGCTTAAAAAAGGGCAAAGCAAAAAGTACGGTCACTCGAATGCGAATACAAGTGTTTTTTTTCGAAATGAATATTTTAAATTGCTCGTGTAACTAAATTTGGAAAACTGGAGGCCGTCATGCAACCGAACTCGTCGTCAAGTGTTTCGTACGCGAGATCGCACAGCTTATGCTAATTTCTGTGGCAAGTGCGTAAAAAGTCAACAACAAAAAGTCATAAGCTTTGCCTTGAAAACATAATGGTGCCATCTGCTTAACCCTCTAGTGCCCAAATGATTTAATGATTTAAAAAATTATTGGTGTTAAAAAATTATTATAAAATATCCATTTCAATAGAGAAAAAATCATTTGTTTTTTAATGTATGAGTTTTGAAAGTTTTAATGTTTTCCAATTCTTTGTGTTTTGATTTCATCATCATTGAAATTCTTTGTTTTTGTGACAAAGAGAAAATCAAAACATAATGCAGTATGTTTGAGTTCGGGACTTCCCAGAACAAAGAATGTAAAGTGAGAAAAGATAAATAGTAGTATGATCTTTGGCACTAGAGGGTTAACAAGCAAGTTATTGTGTGCCCTGTTAGTTAACATTCAGCTGTTAAATCAGCAGTTTGCCACTGCTAAGTGTGACCCTGTCGCCCTGCTGTGTGGCCGTTTGCTGGGAGAGATAGCTACATGTCTCATATTGAGATAGAAAAAAAAAAGTCTCACATCTGTGTATTTCTTGCCTTTACCCCAACAAACATCAAAATTAGGTAGCAGCAGCAACAAATAAGTTTTTAGGAATTAGCCAGGCCCATAGTTTAAGTGCAATTGGTGCGAAATTCGAGGTAGACACGAACAACAACAAGACAAGAAAAAGAAATCAAATAAAAACGTAAACAAAAGAGACGAAAAACGACGCAGCAGCAACGAGCGAGCAGCAGTGGCGCAGCAGCAGCACCAGCAGCAGCGGAGAAGGAGGTGGAGGCGGAGAAGTAGAAACTGAGAAAGGAAAACAAAGAGGAGGAGCAGCACCCAAACCAAAACCCAAAACCCAAAATCATATAAAATAGCCAATTGCCCAAATGGACTCGGATAACGACAACGATTTCTGCGACAACGTCGACTCGGGCAACGTGTCCTCGGGCGACGATGGCGACGATGACTTCGGCATGGAGGTGGACCTGCCCAGCTCTGCGGAGCGCCAGCTGGACGCGGATGATTACCAGTACAAGGTGCTCACCACCGATGAGATTGTGCAACACCAGCGGGAGATAATCGACGATGTCAATCTGGTGCTGAAGGTAATAAACAGAAAGCATTTCGCAAATGCCCCACAATCTACATATATACACCACCCCCTCAACCCCCCCTTCCTTTCCCTTTTCACCCTTTTCTCCTTTTCGTGCATGCAAGTGCATGTTTGTGTATATCTCATGCACCACCACCACCACCACCACCCATCATCATCGTCACTTGCACCACCCCCCACCTCACCCCACAACCAAAGCCATCCCACCGCTTTGCCTGGGATCTCGGATAAAGTGAAGGTCATCCGTTGCTGGCTGCTGGCAGGGAAAACGGAACACAAGGTCGCCTCTGCTTAGATCCATATCCGCATCCACATCCGTATCCACATCCGTATCCGCATCCGCGTACGCATCAGCCAGCAACGGAAAATCGTACAGGTCCTGCTTTCACTTTTCCAGAAGAAAGAGCTTTCGTTGTCACTATTTTTAAATCAAATTTCAAATATAGGTCACCGATGTATATATATACAATGGTATATACATATATTTACTGAGTATTTCTGGTATTTATGATTTATTTTTAATAAATTAAATAAATCTTAAACAAAAATAATAAAAACTTGAATTAAAAATAGAGTGGAAAGTGAAAGAAAAAGTGAAAATAGTTCCCCTCCTTTTAATGATCTTCCCATATCCCCAATCCACATCCGCCTTCACTGCCATATCCGAATCTGGTCCACCCTAAAAACGCTGACAAGTCTGCCAGCAGCAGCATCTTCGGTCGCTGATCGCTAATGATTTGGCATTGACTTCGAGGCCAATTAGGATGCAGGCCACCCCACTTTCCTCCCCCCACCCAACTGGGAATCCAATTCTCTTAACTGATTTCTTGGTTCCTGCAGCTACCCACACCCATTATGCGGATACTGCTGAATCAGTTCAAGTGGGACAAGGAGAAGCTGCTGGAGAAGTACTTTGATGCCAACAACGAGGAGTTCTTCAAAGACGCACACGTCATAAATCCCTTCAACAAGGCACCCGAAGCTATCAGACAAAAGGTAAGTCCACTGGTTATACTTTGGCTTTCACCTAATCCGGAAATCTTTTGTTGCAGACCACGCGAAGTCAGTGCGAAGAGTGCGAAATATGCTTCTCTCTGCTCCCGCCAGATGTAAGTGTGCCACATCCAAATCCGAATGCAAGTCGCCCCGAGACCAGAGACCCCTCAATCTACAAACAAGATTCATTTCCTTATCACAAAATGCTGCCTATTGACTTTAGTTTCGTCTTCTCAAAGACCCCGATTAGTCCGGCTGTTTATCAATTATTTTATAGTCAAGAAATTATCAATTATTAACCTGTGTGATTTATAATTTCTGATTTGGAATACACTTCTTAAAAGAAACTAGGGAATATCATTCTTTGTGAATGCCAGCCCTGGCAGGTTTCCTATTTCTTATAATCTCCCGCCCCCCCGAGTATGAGTCATGAATATAAATATAAATGAATGTATTTATTGTCTTAAAAATAGTATTATCACTAGTATTATAACTAATCTATATATCCATGGTATCTTTTAGTCAATGACCGGCCTGGAGTGCGCACATCGGTTCTGCCTGAGCTGCTGGCGCGAGTATCTAACAACGAAGATCGTTGCTGAGGGCCTGGGCCAGACCATATCGTGCGCGGCGCACGGCTGTGATATCCTGGTGGACGATGTGACGGTCACCAAGCTGGTCCAGGACGCCCGGGTCCGGGTCAAATACCAACAGTTGATCACCAACAGCTTTGTCGAGTGCAACCAGCTGTTGCGCTGGTGTCCGTCCGTCGACTGCACCTATGCTGTGAAGGTGCCCTACGCGGAATCCCGTCGCGTCCTGTGCAAGTGCGGCCATGTGTTCTGCTTCGCCTGCGGCGAGAACTGGCACGATCCGGTCCGCTGCCGTTGGCTAAAGAAGTGGATCAAGAAGTGCGACGACGATTCGGAGACATCCAACTGGATTGCGGCCAATACCAAAGAGTGTCCCAAGTGCAGTGTGACCATCGAGAAGGACGGCGGCTGCAACCATATGGTCTGCAAGAATCAGAACTGCAAGTACGAGTTCTGCTGGGTATGTCTCAGTACCTGGGAGCCGCACGGTTCGTCCTGGTACAACTGCAATCGGTATGATGAGGACGAGGCCAAGTCCGCTCGCGATGCCCAGGAGAAGTTGCGTTCCTCGCTGGCCAGGTGGGTATCCTAATCCTATCTTAGCTATTCAGATGCATTAATATTCTTCTCACTCTACAGATACCTTCACTACTACAATCGCTACATGAACCACATGCAGTCGATGAAGTTTGAGAACAAATTATACGCATCTGTGAAGCAAAAAATGGAGGAGATGCAACAGCACAACATGTCCTGGATTGAGGTAATCACTAGCTTTAGACCCTTAAGGCCTCCAAACTAATTCCCTTTGTGTAATCGCAACAGGTGCAATTTCTGAAAAAGGCTGTCGACATACTGTGCAGGTGTCGCCAGACTCTGATGTACACATACGTGTTTGCGTATTATTTGAAGAAAAACAATCAATCCATGATATTCGAGGATAATCAAAAGGATTTGGAGTCGGCAACCGAAACGTTGTCCGAGTATTTGGAACGTGATATTACATCTGAAAATTTGGCTGATATTAAGCAGAAAGTGCAAGATAAATACAGGTACTTAATAATTATCATATAAATATAGTTTCTTGTTTATAATAATGAATTTTTTGGATTGTTAGGTATTGTGAAAAACGCTGCTCTGTTCTGCTAAAACACGTGCACGAGGGCTACGACACGGACTGGTGGGATTATACAGAATGACGCGAGTCATGGCTGGATAACTAAGTTAAGCTGAGAGCGGCAGGCCAGAAGGACGGAAAGGAAATGGCACTCGGTGTGCGATGAGTCAGAGGAGTGTAGTGCAACTAAACGCCCACAAAATCCACGTCCACTATCACACTGTTACGCCCACAACCAACAACCAACACCTCAACACCCTCGTTCATAAACACCATTAGGCATGCACACATTTAACACGTAAAGGCAAGAAAACATCTCCCACCCAATCCCAAAAAAGAAAAACACAAAAAATGGAACCTAAACCGAAACTAGAAGCCGAAGAAGTTAAGCATAAGGCAGTAGCTACTGTGAATGGCAAGAAACCAGGCATATATATATATATATATACAAGAAGAAAGTTGGAAGCTTAAGAAGTAAATTTCAAAATGGGGAATTATCCAGAGATCAAGTCCCCAAAACAAAAGTTGCAATAAATGAAAAGAAACATTTCAAAATATATATGTGAAACACGCAAGGAATCTATATTAAATGATAAAATACAAAATATAATTGTATATATACGCGAGGAGTATATATCTATATATATATATAGACATATATGTTTACGATTCTTCTCTTCGCAACGAGAGGCGACAGCAGCAGTAGATGCAGGAGCATTAGAAGGAACACAAGGACTCTCACACACCACACACCACACACACACACAGAGCCAGTCACAACAAGGATCAACAGATACAGAGCAGCAACAGCATATAATATATATATATAAAATTATATATATATATATATATATAGTAATTAATCAACAGTTAAAAACTTATTTGATGTTAACCGATTGCAAACAAGATCTTCATGTTATCAAAAATTAGTGAAAATGAATTCAAGAAACCCACAATAGGCCCTAAAGTATACATACATGTGAAAGATAAACCAACTACACATTAAGCTAACTCCACTTGCCCAGCTCCTACGTAGGGTTTGATTTCCTCCCTCGCTCCTTCGTCCTTTCACTGAAGAACCCTATCGCTATCAGATGGCTTAGCTTCACGTTAGCTTTTTTATAAAAAAACAAATGCCTTTAGCTTATTATTTTATTTTGGAATTTTTTTTTACATACATACATTTATATATAATTTATATCAGTCCCAGTTTTATTTGGATTCTTCCACTATTTAGAAAGAAATTATTTCATTCATGTTTTTTGTTTAATCAATTAAGTGAAAAGTTTATTAAATTTTTTTATCATGCTTAGCATATATATGAAACACGGAATTGTTTGCCATTCGATCGAAGAAGCTAGCCGATATTTCGACGGGAGCAGAGTCTTAGGCCTCATCTTATTTTATTTTATATAATTTTTTTAGTTCGTAGACCTCTAGAGTCCTGTACATGTTGTATGATGGGTAGCTTGTAAGCCTACCAGTGAATCCTGCTCTCTTCCTCCCGTCGCAAACACGCTGACACTCTGAGATATATATACATATATATATATATATACATAAACATAGATATATACACCATCCATACACACGCTCGATATGTACGGAATATGATGTATGTGCCGCTGGGCATCAGAAATGTATAGTTATTCGCATAGGCGGCGGTAGATCGTTGTACATAAGAGAACAGTTTTGTCCATGGTTTCCCAACAACAACAAAAAATTGCAAAAAAAAAATTACACTCTTACGCAAACACACATACACCCACACCAACCAACCTACACACACACCTTAACTCGACTCGCCACGCCCCGCTTTGAAGGCGTTGGGTCCTTTTACCAAGTTTTCCGTTTTCAGCATTCTCTATATTCTTAAAAAAACTAAACAGAAAAAAAATTATATTTATAAACAAAAACTAAGTGAAAACTCATTGAAATTAAATTGATGTAAAAAGTTTAAAGTTGTTCAAATTGAAAGAAATAAAAATATAAAAAGCGAAACAAAAAAATGATATAAAAACAAAACCATCATGTGGAATAAAAATATATATATTAAAGAAAAGCTATAAAAAATTATGAGAACCTATGTATGTATAATTAAAGATGAAATGTTGCAAGAATTAGTGAAAATAAAAATTTAAAAACATCCATCAGGTGCGTATGAATTTAAGATTCATTTTTTCCCTAGGGGTATCCCCACAAAATTGTGGGTTTTCGCAATTTCACAACTTCCGATGGCCATAGCTCTGCCAATTCGTATCCGATCAGGAAATAAAGTACCATTTAGTAATCAGCGAACCCAGAAGCTACTTTCCTCATTCAAAACATTGCCTAAATGTGGTTTTAAAATTTTTCGAATTTTTTCCTAGGGGTACCCCTACAAAATTGTGGGTTTTCGCAATTTCACAACTTTTTTTCCTTCCGATGGCCATAGCTCTGCCAATTCGTATCCGATCAGGAAATAAAGTACCATTTAGTAATCAGCGAACCCAGAAGCTACTTTCCTCATTCAAAACATTGCCTTAATGTGGCTTTTAAATTTTTCGAATTTTTTCCTTTGGGTACCACTACAAAATTGTGGGTTTTCCTGATTTCCTCACTTTTGCTCCTTCCGATGGCCATAGCTCTGCCAATTCGTATCCGATCAGGAAATAAAGTACCATTTAGTAATCAGCGAACCCAGAAGCTACTTTCCTCATTCAAAACATTGCCTAAATGTGGTTTTAAAATTTTTCGAATTTTTTCCTAGGGGTGCCCCTACAAAATTGTGGGTTTTCGCAATTTCACAACTTTTTTTCCTTCCGATGGCCATAGCTCTGCCAATTCGTATCCGATCAGGAAATAAAGTACCATTTAGTAATCAGCGAACCCAGAAGCTACTTTCCTCATTCAAAACATTGCCTTAATGTGGCTTTTAAATTTTTCGAATTTTTTCCTATGGGTACCACTACAAAATTGTGGGTTTTCCTGATTTCCTCACTTTTGCTCCTTCCGATGGCCATAGCTCTGCCAATTCGTATCCGATCAGGAAATAAAGTACCATTTAGTAATCAGCGAACCCAGAAGCTACTTTCCTCATTCAAAACATTGCCTAAATGTGGTTTTTAAATTTTTCGAATTTTTTCCTATGGGTACCACTACAAAATTGTGGGTTTTCCTGATTTCCTCACTTTTGCTCCTTCCGATGGCCATAGCTCTGCCAATTCGTATCCGATCAGGAAATAAAGTACCATTTAGTAATCAGGGAACCCACAAGCTACTTTCCTCATTCAAAACATTGCCTAAAAGTGGTTTTTAAATTTTTCGAATTTTTTCCTAGGGGTACCCCTACAAAATTGTGGGTTTTCCTGATTTCCTCACTTTTGCTCCTTCCGATGGCCTTAGCTCTGCCAATTCGTATCCGATCAGGAAATAAAGTACCATTTAGTAATCAGCGAACCCAGAAGCTACTTTCCTCATTCAAAACATTGCCTAAATGTGGTTTTTAAATTTTTCGAATTTTTTCCCAGGGGTGCCCCTACAAAATTGTGGGTTTTCCTGATTTCCTCACTTTTGCTCCTTCCGATGGCCTTAGCTCTGCCAATTCGTATCCGATCAGGAAATAAAGTACCATTTAGTAATCAGCGAACCCAGAAGCTACTTTCCTCATTCAAAACATTGCCTAAATGTGGTTTTAAAATTTTTCGAATTTTTTCCTAGGGGTACCCCTACAAAATTGTGGGTTTTCGCAATTTCACAACTTTTTTTCCTTCCGATGGCCATAGCTCTGCCAATTCGTATCCGCTCAGGATATAAAGTACCATTTAGTAATCAGTGAACCCAGAAGCTACTTTCCTCATTCAAAACATTGCCTAAATGTGGTTTTTAAATTTTTCGAATTTTTTCCCAGGGGTGCCCCCACAAAATTGTGGGTTTTCGCAATTTCACAACTTTTTTTCCTTCCGATGGCCATAGCTCTGCCAATTCGTATCCGATCAGGAAATAAAGTACCATTTAGTAATCAGCGAACCCAGAAGCTACTTTCCTCATTCAAAACATTGCCTAAATGTGGTTTTAAAATTTTTCGAATTTTTTCCTAGGGGTGCCCCTACAAAATTGTGGGTTTTCGCAATTTCACAACTTTTTTTCCTTCCGATGTCCATAGCTCTGCCAATTCGTATCCGATCAGGAAATAAAGTACCATTTAGTAATCAGCGAACCCACAAGCTACTTTCCTCATTCAAAA